TTTTGTTCTGTTTTTGTTTGTTTTTATCTTTTTCTTTTTTTTTTCCTCTTTCTTTTTTCTTTCTTTCCCTTTCTTTTCCCCTGGTTTCAGGTCTTTTCTGATTTGTACAGAATCGGTTTTCTTTCATCATGTTGCGATTCTTAGCCCCGCAGCCCTCTAGAATACAGAGCCCAGGCATTGGAGCATTGATTTGTTCGTTGACCAAATATTTTTTGAGCTCATGCTACCTACCAGATGCTGTTCTAGGCGCCAGAATATAAAGTGAAAAGTACTAACGCGGACCCTGCTCGAGATTTACTCAGTCGGGTATGAGAGACAGATTATATTAAATAACATCAACATGTAATTGCAAATAATGTGCAGTGCTAAAAAGAGAACAAACAAGATGCTGTGAGGATGCCCGGTGGTACATTAGAAGAGTGGTCAGGGATGGCATCCCTGGTAGGAGGATTTAACCAGAAACCTAAATGATATGAAATATGAAAGCCAGCCCCTTAAAGAGCAAGAGGAAGGGTGTACAAAGCACAGGGAACATGAGCATAGGCCGCAAGGCCGGAAAGAAAGCTTGACCAGTTGGAGGAATTGACAGAAAGCCACACAGCTTGCAAGAACAGTGGTTATGATATAGGGTCGGGAAGATCTCTTAGGTCATGTTAGGAGGTCTGGATTTTACTTAAAGTGCAGTTGCAAGCCATTGAGGCATTTTAAGCAGAGATATCCCATGATAAATATACTTTCCCTGTGGTGAGTTGGAGAAAAGAGTAAAAACTGGAGACCCATTAAGAGGTTATTGCAGTAGCCCCTATGTTCTTTGACATCACTCTGAATATGCTAATTATCTTAGAGAGCTTTAGTAGTCAAGTTTCTTGGTTATTTTCTTTGGACTGATGGGTGAGCAGATGAGGGAAGGAAAAGTCTGAATTCACTGGGGGTTACTACTACTGGCTTACTGAATAAACAAACAATAAGTGATTGCCCATTATGTATAGGCAGCTTTGCTAAATCAAATAAGACCCACAAGACCTAGCTCCTGGAATTCAAGTGAAAGACTGTCAAATGCCGTCTGTCCCTTCCTTCCTTCTGTATCTTCGTATTGGACTCTGACATCTCTGAATTGTTTGTGTGTCCTGAGATCGCCTTGTTGCTTTACTCTTCCCTCCTTTCTTCTACCTAGAACAGCCCCTTTTCCTTCTGGAAATACCTTTCATCCTTTAAAATGGAGGCATTTCTTATTTTGGGCAACCTTTCCTTTTGACTCTGGATTGATTTGGTACCCTTATACAAAGCATATCTCCTCTTACAGTATAATGTCTATTTGTATGTGTTTTGCCTCTCTTCCTCCTACTGTGAGCTTGAGGACAAGGAGTGTAATCTGCTGGTTTTTTTTTTCCACTGCTTTTACCTTGTTTCTTTGTAGCCTGGTACAATGGTAATGTACAGTAGGTATTCATTGTGAAAGTGAATACTGAATGAAATTGCCTAACTGGGTATTTAAATTTCTCTTAGGCTTTTCAACAAATAGAAGTGAAAATTATGTAGTAAAGTGAGAGTGAGTCGAGAACTTGCTTTATTTGGATACCATAAAATATTGGTGATTTGGTAGAGGGGAGTAGGTAATGGAAACTGAGCTAAGGAAAAATAATTGAGTCCTGTTTTTGTTCTTTGTGCAGAGTTTGCCTCTCAATCCCAAACCTTTCCTGAATGGATTAACAGGAAAGCCAGTAATGGTGAAACTTAAGTGGGGAATGGAGTACAAAGGGTACCTGGTATCTGTAGATGGTTATATGAACATGCAGGTAAGCTAAAGAGATAATCATTAAATTCTATTTATTTTGCTCTACCTTAACTCCTCAAAGGTTTAACTGTGATTTACAAGAATGAAATCAACCAAATTGACAAACATAAAACAAAATTCAGAAATAAAGTCAAGGTCAGGGAGGATATTATAACTGTGATAAACTGTTACAAACCTGTAAAACCAAAATTCAGCCACAGAATGGACTTCTAGTGGTTAAAATAAAAAGAACTCCGATATTTGAGTCACAGTGGCATAAGGAAAACACAAATGAGGTTTTTGTTTTGTTTTTTTGTAGAAAAGGCAAAACTCTGCCAACATTTAGCTCTGAAAGAAATTTTTCTTTTTTCCGAAAGAAATTTTCAAGTGAATTTCTTAAGTCTTTTAATGAATGCTAAAGGCATAAAATCAAAGTAATTCAATAAAAGCATTTCTTGAGGGAGAAGACAGGCCAAACCAAAGGAATTGATGAACTGTGACTGAATGTCTCTTATGCTAGCTTCTGTAAATGTTTAGGACCAGGTGTTTTTAAAGATTGATTTATTTTAGAGAGTACGGGGGGGGGATGGGAGAGAGAATCTTAAGCAGACTCCCCACTGAGCTTGGAGCCCAACGCGCAGCTCCATCTCATGACCCTAAGTTCATGACCTGAGCTGAAATCAAGAGTCAGATGCTTAACTGACTGAGCCACCCAGGCACCCCTTGCTTTGTTTTTGTAATTGTGGTAAAATGTATCTAACATAAAATTTACCACTTTGACCATTTTCAAGTGTAGAACTCAGTGGCATTAAGTGCATTCATATTATTGTACATCTAGCACCATTACCCATTTCTGAAACTCTTATATCGTCCCCAACTGAAACTATACCCATTAAAAAATAATTCCCCTTTCCCTTGTCCCTTGGTAAATGTAATTCTTTCTGTCTCTGTTTTAGCTCCTATAAGTGGAATCCTATAGTATTTGTCCTTTTGTGTCTGGCTCATTTCATTTAGCATAACGTTTTTAAAATTCATCCATGTTGTGGCATGTATCAGAATTTCATTCCTTTTAATGACTGAAATAATATTCCATTGTATGTATATACCACATTTTAATCCATTTTTCTGTTGGTGTACATTTCAATTGTTTTCCACCTTCCAGCTGTTGTGAATAACACAATGACCATGGGTGTACAAATATCTGTTAGAGGTTCTCCTTTCACTTCTTTTGGATGTATATCCGGAAGTGGAATTGCTGGAATTTTTTGAGGAACTGCCATACTGTTTTCTATAGCAGCCGTATCATTTTACTTTCCACCAGCAAAGCCTAAAGGTTCCAGTTTCCTCACATCCTCACCAATACTTGTTATTTTCAGTTTCTTTGATAATAGCCATCCTCATGAGGGTAAAATACCTCATGGTTTTGATTCATATTTCCCCAGTGTTGAGTGATACTGCAATCTTTATGTGCTTATTGGCCATTTATATATCTTTTTTGGAGAAATGCCTGTTCTTGTCCTTTGCTCCTTTAAAAACTGGTGTGTTTTATTTCTTTGTTGCTTAATTGTAGTAGTTTCCAGCCAGGTTTTTGACGAAAGAGTTTGAAGTTATATTTTCCTGAAGCATAGGTATTTATGTGACTGATTAATGGCAGATGGATTTTAAAGGTTGCTTAGATGGGTGGTCAGTCCAAGTATGAATCCCAAGTATTCCATACTGCTAGTACTTGTAGGAAGAGTACTAACAGGGGCACTTGTAGGCAAAAAGCTGAGATTTTCCTTAATTTAAGAGGTTACCACTTAAACAGATGATGCTTAGGTCCCCAAAGTTCTTATAGAGCATGGTTTTGGCCTGGAAAATTGCTCAAGCAGGAATCATTTACCAAGGCCATAGAAAAATCTGAAGAGTATACCATTCTGCTGAAAATGTTCCAGACTTTGATAGTGGTGGTGATTATACAATTTTATGAATATATTAAAAACCGCTGACTTGTACACTGTAAAAGTGAATTTTATGCTGTGGGAATTATATCGCAATAAAAGAAAGAAATAAAGAATACCCACGGAATATTTGGTTTTAGAAGTAATGTAGTTCCTGGTGAGCCTGCCAGAGTTGTGAAATGTATCTGAGTAGCCACATTAATGATGTTTTTTAATTTATTTATTCAGCAAATGTTTATTAAGAGCCCATTATGTGTCTGGCTCTGTGTATACACCAATGAATAAAACTAAGTCACTACTTTCAAGGAGTTTGTGTTGTAGTGGGAGATGGTAATATAATGTGATATCAGGTTATGATAGATAACTATGGAGAAAAAGAAAGCAGAAACAGGGTAGTGACAGCAGTTTGCAGTGTTAGATAGGATAGCCAGCGAAAGGTTCTCTGAGGAAGTAAATTGAAGCAGAGAAAAGATTGAGTGAGCAACTGAAGAGAGTATCAAAGAAGGAAGAGCATCTCAGTTTGAGGGAACAGAAGTACGTAGGCCTTGTGGCAGAAACTTGCTTGGTGTGTTGAAGGCATGGCAAGAAGGCCAAAGCAGAGGCACCTGGGTGGCTCGGTTAGTTAAATGTCTGCTTTCAGATGAGGTTCAGGTCGTAATCCCAGGGATCTGGGATTGAGCCCTGCGGGCCCCGGGCTCCCTGCTCAGCGGGGAGCCGGCTTCTCCCTCTCCTCCCAACTTTGTGCTCTGTTGCTATCTCTGTCTCTCTTAAATAAATAAAAATTTTTTAAAAAGGCCCAAAGCAGAATGATGTAGGGGAAGAATGATAAAAAGGTTGGAATAGTAGTCATAGAGAGCCTTTTAAGTGATTGTGGTTTCTAAAAGTAACAAAGTTTATTACCTGTATGTGGAAGGAAACCTAAACATTTTCATGTAAAATTAGAGTTTCCTGAAATAACTATAAAGGTCACTCTGAATTGTTTAACTTTCTCTTAGGAACTTATTTTGCTTTCTTTGTTAGCACATAATTAAAATTACTATTCAGTTCTTTGGTTTGGGTGTTCTGATATAAAAGTATTTGATAATTTAGCCATAGATTTTGTACTCTGAATTTTGTAACTTTTTTATAACTGAATTTTTGGAAAACTTTAAAATCACAACTTATTCACAAGTTACAGACTGTTTTCCTCAACATATTGTTTTAATGTCTAATAGAAAGAAATGTTACATGACTAAGAGATTTAAAAAATTATGTTGAAACAAGCTTTATTACATACTCTACATCCATCAATGTTAACTTTACAGAATGTTTATATGAAACCCAAAAGTACTACAGTAGTAAAAGAAGGCTAATCTAGTAATTATAGGTAATTGTTGGTATAGAAAGGTCTCAGTTAATAAGTTCTCTGACCAATATTACCTAATATTTTAGGTAATGTTACACTATTTTCCTCCTGTGTTACTATACTAATATATTTTCTTTTGATTTAAAGCTTGCAAACACAGAAGAATACATAGATGGAGCATTGTCTGGACATTTGGGTGAAGTTTTAATAAGGTAACAAAACAGCAGTAGTATATATAAGGAGTGACTGGAGAGCATTAGAAATACCTGTTTAAATAGACTAGTGCCTCAATTTCAGAATCACTTTAAATCACAATTAATTTAACATATTCTACAGTTAAACTTAAAGAATTTTGAAATCCTTAAACTTGTCCAAGAAGATGGAAATTTTTTGGTTATTCATCCTTAAGATTTTTCTAGTGATGATAGTAAACTTTCTAGCTCGTAGCTGTAACCTTTTTCAGTGGTTTTAGTTGCAAGAGCTTGGTTTTGAATTTCAGTTGGATCTGGCTGCTGTTGGGGATTTTTGTTCTATTCATTTTCTTGAACTAGAGTCACACTCTCAAATTTGAGTCATTCCTTTTGGAAGATCATAAAGATACTATTTTATAACATCCACTGGGTGAATAAGTGCCATGTGCTTTTTAACAAACCAGTGGTGAAAACATTTTTTAAAAAAGAAAGAAATGATACATTGTAAATTTAGCATTCAGTATTTTTATAATCAAAAATATCTAGCAATAGTAATTCAGATTTTAATGTGGTTTCCGGTTGGAACAACAAAATGGATTGTTTTTCTATTTACAGGTGTAATAATGTCCTTTATATCAGGGGTGTTGAAGAAGAAGAAGAAGATGGGGAAATGAGAGAATAGCATCTTTTGTGGGGAATTTTTTATATATATATTTCTAGACAATAAACATTTTTTTTTTCAACTTGACTCATGAACTCTTCCTATTCAGATATTTAAATGTAGAGCTCAAATGTTGAAACAGTTGAAAGATTATTCGGAATTAATACTTTAAGAGCCATTCAGCTTCATTCAAGTTGGTTTTCTTTTGTAAGCTCAGTAATCTTTTTTTCTACAGGAGAAAATTATATGCTTCATAAACATTTATGAAAGTGAATTTCAGCCCTTTTCTTGTAATTCTGTATTAACTGAGACCTTTTAAAAACAACTGTTTCTTTTAAAGTTATTTCTGAACAACTTTTGACATGTATTAAGTTAAATATTTTCTTAGAATTAACATATACTGTTTTATTTTACTTAGTAGCCAACAGATTACATGTTAATTCTCTGTCAGTGTAAGCTAAGTAATGTACATATTACAGCTAAAATTGAAACATCACCTGAAAATTAAAATGATTGTGGATATAGAGCACAACAGAAATTGTAAACTGATATTTAGGCTAAAAGCATTTGGTTTGTTCACTTAAGAGAATTAAGTGTTCTGAACAGAACTCCTTAATGTGAATTAAAAACCAGTCTCACAGTTAAATTCTGAGGATAGTACTAGTGGTTTTCATTTATGTGTTAAACTCCTCAAAACCATTTAGAGTTATACATTGTTAAAATGTATACTCCACAGTGATAAAATATATACTATGAACTGTGAACTGGATGAAAACAAATGAGATCATTTAAAGTCCCATGTTGTCAGAGAATGCCATTATTGCACTTTAATGGTCATTCACCACATAGTTACACCAATAAAGTAAATTTTGGATGTGTATCCCCAACTGGGACAACTCAAAGATAAAAATGTTTAGCTGTATGGAATTTTACTTAGTATATGATAATAAAAGGCTTCAACAAAAGAAAAGAACTCCCATTCCCAATCCTATAACCACTAGAATAAGTGCTGTCTTCCTCAAATTACTCAGACCAGCATATGGGGCAGAATACTGCCGTTAATGGAAACCAGAATCTACAAAATATGCCTAAAAAATTCTGGTAATAAATGTTTTACTGCTTCTATTCAAGTGAAAAAATATTCATCCTCTAGTGATTTTGTTCTTGTATCCTTGACTAAAAGTAGTTCATGTTTGTTACCAGATGGCGGTTTTGAGCGATAGACAAGTCGTCTTCCCAGCTGAAACAAAAGAAAAATACTTAATATTTTTTAGCATAACTATGTTCTGTTGAAACATAAGTAAAATAATAACATTAACTTGATTTTTCCAAGGAATAACATGACTCAAAATAGTAAATAATCACAGTTACAAAGGGATTGATAACCTAATGGGTGTTCAACATGCTAGGCAGGGTTAAGTAACAAAGAGAGCACCATAGAATGCAGGAGACCGAGCGGTTAGGTTTTATGGGAAAGTCAGGAGATTTAGGTAGTCCTCGAAAAGCCTGTGTTTCAGATACAGTCGGCCTAGAAAAGCGCCATGTTTGAGGCCAACATTTCATTTCTCAGGGCCATAGCAAGTTTCTCCTCCATTGGTTAGAAGAGATGAATTTCCTCTGCTGAACACCAATGGACTGGCATTTAAAAATTCTATTAGATAAAAACTTGAGGAAACCACGTACATCATCTTAAACACTAGTAATCCTATTGGCTCTTAGATGTGTTCCCACCAGGAGAGGCTTAGGGAAAGCCCTTGATTTGTACCTATTCATTCTCTGGGGCATATACTCAAGTATATTATGCTACTCATTATTTTTCTCTTTTAGTCTTTTTTCCCCTTCCTTTATGTATTTATTTGGTTTTGCTTCTGTATCTGAATTTGTATAAATGAAATGGATGAGAAAGTTATTCTGTTGAAAATGAGATTTGATGGAATATCTCCACTGTGTCTCAGAAGAGGCACTAACACTATGTGAGACTGTCCCCTGCATTGCAGAATTTGACATTCCTGGCCCATGGGAATTAACAATGGCAGTCTTCCCCATCATTTTATCAACAAAAATGTCCTCAGGGACTGGAATCCCCAAATTCCTTTCTTAATGTCAGATTTTTTTTTTCTCTGTCAACGATCTTTTGACATTAATAACCTTTGTTATTAATACTGTCTGAAAAAGTTGCCAGTGATGAAGTGCCTTGACTAGATAAGAACTTCTGTCAGAGGTCTTTGTACATTGTCAACTGATCAAATGGGCATTATTTTTTTTTTCATTTTTCTTCCCATTTTAGTTTTCACTCTTAATTTTTAGTCTGCTAATTCAATAAGCATTTATTGAGCATCCACTATGTGCCAGGCACTGGGGACACAAAGTCATAAAAACTCACTCATGGTCTAGAAGGAAAGATGGATCTATTAAAAATAATCATTTCAACTTCGTGAGCTTAGTGAATAGTAGTATGTATACGTGGAAGGATGATGAATGGTTAATTCGCCTTTGGGAGAAAGAGGACAAGTCCAGTCTTTATAGGAAGAGCTGAACTAGAGAAGTCAGACCCTTTTTAAGGTGAAATGCTTATTTAAATGAAATTAAGATAATCAACACTTTTTGACATACATATTAACAGTTACTGTATTTCAGAAGCTTTTTCAAGTACTTACCTCAAAAGGCTGGTTGTGAGACACATAAGAGGCATTCACTGTAGGTTAGCTATTACTGTGGTAAGAATCAATGTCCATAGTAGCTTTGCAGATAACCCTGAAATTAGCTTCCCCAAGTATATTTCAGACCTTAACCCAGAGGAAGGAGAGTGGCATATAGAAACACAAGGCCCTCCATACCCAGTGGGAAGTCATGGACCACGTACTCAGTGACTGCCCAATCCCATACTTATTATTGGATAGGTAATCTTGCAATATAAAGAACCTTGACTTCTGGTCCTGGACCCGCTGCTAAATCTGAAGTGACTCTGGGTAAATCATTTTAACATCAACTATTAATCTCATTATATTTTATAAGGTGAGGATTAGAAGACCCTTCCAATTATATGCAGTTCTCTGGATCTGCTGTGTCCATTGTTGACTGAAAATAGCAAGGCTCATGGCTATTATTTGTGAGAAGAAGATATACATAAAGACATAGACTATTTCCAGAAGGATGCAGATGAAACTTTTAAGAGATTGCATCCAGGGAAGGGAACTAAGGATGACTTAATTTTCACTAAATACTCTTGTATCTTTTGAACTTTGAGCTGTATGCTTGTTATTATGTATGCAAAAAATTAAAGAAAAAATTAACCTGATTTCATGAACCCGGAGCTAAAGAAAAAGAGAGGGGAAAGGTTTCTTTTACTAAAAAGTGCGTCTAATGGAGAACTGTAGACCCAGAAATTTGAATTATCCTCAAAGTTAACAGGGAATGAGACCAATCAAAGCTGGATAAATTATATGAATTAGGTATTTTGTTTTTATACCACAGAAGCACTCACATATTGATGTAGCTGGACCTATTGGTAACAAAACACAAACCTTTTTCTTTGGTTGTGCTACTGCTCTTTCCAGAGCAGCTCTTAGCCTTTCTTCCTGGTGTTTTTGTTTTTCTTTCATTTTCTCTTCACGTAACCTGTCAAAAAAGGAAAACATTCTTGTAACTGTAAATCACAGAAAGTAAAAAGAGACCTACATTACTTTTGGGTAATAAACTGCCTAAATATTATAAGATCTCCCTAAGAGTTAAATTAAAATAATAATTCACCTTCACCCATACTATATGGCTTTTGAATATTCAGGTGAAATCTCAACAACAGATCCCTTTTGTGTTAAGATGGGAGAAAATTGCTTGTCACCATTTTGGAAGAATTAAAATCTACCCAGATCTTGGTCTAAAACAAGCACCTCAGCAAAGCCTTCTTGTCACTCAAATTACATTTTAGCACTTCACAGTTAATGTGTACAAGGCCTCTTGAATTAACAGCCAGACCCCCAGTAGCCTTTTTACTACAGTATAATGTGCAGAAAAGTGCACAAACCACAGTTACATATATATATACACATAGTTCATGGAGTTACCACAAAAGCGTACTTTTCCAGTTAACCTTTCTGAATGGTATCCTGAAATTAAGACCAAGAAATGCTATTTGTCTTGTTTTCTTTAGGGTTGTTGTGAGGATAAAATTAAATGAAATGACCTATGTAAACTGTCTAGGCCAATGCCTGGTGCAGAATAGACCCTCAATAAGTGATAGCTATTTTATGGACTTAAACAGTTATAACATTTACTGAACATTTTTTATGCAAAATTAGGTGTTAGGTACCTGGGAAAAAACAAAATTCTCTTTTTGATAAGAAGGATAAGCAATTGGAACTAGGTTCATACATCACTATTGAAAATAAGTTTTAATTACAATTCAATGAGAATATATTTCCGACTAGAAAAGATCCAAGTGCTGTTAATGTTATCAGTCATAGGTCATCTTACGGAAGGAGTGATTTTTTTTTTATAATTTAAAAAAACTTTTGCTTTAATGAAATCCCATCAGGATCACCTTAATGTATTCTGGACTTTGTTTTGATATGGGGGAAACCGTATCCCCCATATACCGGTAAGCCATAATGAAATATCTTAACATTAACGCCTAATGTTTGAATACTTACTATGTGCCAAGCACAAACCCTATGAGATAAGTATCATCATTACTGCCATTTTACAGATAAACTGAGGCTTAGGAGAGGTTATGTGCCCTACCTAAGGTCACAGAGATTATAAATGGCAGAACCTGCATTGAAGCTAAGCAGATCAGCCATAGTGCTAGTCTCCCTCTTAACTTTTTTGTTATTGTTGTTATGACATGAACAATATTCCACCTATGGGCATTCTCTACATGCCACATTATACTAGGGGTCATATATTTATAATCATTGCCTCAAAAGTAGTTATCCTTATTTAACTCGGTATGGAAGTTTGTAAATCTGCATTCTCCTGGAAAGGCAGGCAGGCTAGGATGTGGGTATGTCAGGGTGAGGAGGGGGTGTTGTTCCAGGGATGATAATCCTCATGAAGTTGCCTTGAGGAATGAATGAGTTAATGTGTAGATGCTGTGTGTGTAAATGTTTCCAGTTATGCACTAAGAAGAACCCTCATTGCATGGCTCTGACTTTCAAACAATTCCTTCATATATAGTCTCCTTGCAGTGAAGGGGTCCTAATTCTATGCCTTGGGCTTTCCACTACAAGTGCAACCTCTTCCACAAGATAGCTCTTAAAAAATAATAAGTAGTGAATATTCATTCTGAAAATCCATTTTTTTAAGGCTAAAATGACCCTTTACCCATCTCAAACTAGATCAGTTGTTGCCTCTGAACTCTTTCCTTCACAGTGCTCAATTGCTTGGTAATGACACATTATTTCATAAGAATATTTGATGAATGTGTCTTCACATTAAATAATAGTTCTGAGAAGGGCAGGTCTGGGTTTGGGTCTACTACATCTTTATTGCAATCCTTGCCATGTAATAGGGGCTTGCTCAGGGTTTGTGGAATCCCAGCAAGAACAGTTTATCTCATTAAGTCATTCACTACACTTCTATCATAAGACATTGACTGTACTTTTGTCGCCGTTCTTTCTGTTTTATCCTCTCAATTGCCTCCACATTTTCTTTGGGAATGGATTCAATGAGATCACTCAATTCTACCAGGCGAGACTCTACTTTCACCAGCTTTTGAACTGGGTTGAGGCTGCCAACATCAGCATCTCCAATGCAGACTTTGTATACTTGATTAATTTTTTTACTAAGAGAGTCTATCAGTTTTTCCTGAGATTGAAAAGAAAAGGAGAGCAGAAAACATAACATCTCATCACTATTTTCTTGTTCATTCAATAAATCCATTTTACTATATTATAATGAAAAGGCTCTTATATGATACTACATACTTCTTTCTAAAAGAAAAACTTTAGGGGCGCCTGGGTGGCTCAGTCAGTTAAGTGCCTGACTTTGGCTCAGGTCATAATCTCAGAGTCCTGGGATTGAGCCCGCATGCTGCTCAGCAAGGAGTCTGTTGTCCCTCTCCTCCCTTTGCCCCTTCCCCCGCTCATGCTCTCTCTCTCTCTAATAAATAATCTTTAAAATAAAAACTTTAATATAACATAGAACGGTGAGAAAATGCAGCGGTGATAAATCATAATTTATAGTTAGATTATTACTGCAGTAACACTTTGGACTATTTTCTTTCAAAAATACTGCATTCTTATAAAAAGCAATTTTAATATGACAGTATCTTTTCTTGAGTGTTTTTATGTACCTGATTCCCTGAGTATTCAAGTAGAGGCAATGTATATATACATTTTAAATCTTTTTTTTTTTGCCACTCCAGTGCATTTACTTGCAACACAGCATGTGAGCTCCGTTTTTTTGTTTTGTTTTGTTTTGTTTGCACTTAACTACTCTTCATTGCTGACTACAATCATTCTGTATGAAAGCTATTTGCGTACATGCCTTATTTCCCCTTCTAGACTGTAAGCACCTGGAGGGCAGGAGTTATTTCTTACGTTTACACTTAACTAAAATAGCACCTTGCACATAACTATGCACTTAATAAATGTTTGCTGAATAAATGACTGAATGCGTTCTCTCAGAGGAAAAAAAAGTTAAAAGCAAACAGATTGCCAGGCTGACCTACAAAGTCTTTTAAGGAGTTTAATTTTCACTCTTGCCATTGGAAGCCATTGGAGTATTCTGGTCTAAGCAGAGACTTAGGCCAAACCTTGCTGATCCCTGTACCTGGCCACTGCGCCGTCTTAACTGTTGGTAGATATGCTCGAGCTTGTAGGTAACGTATTTCGGGACCAAATAACTCTCAGCCTCTTTCTCCACCGTGAACCTGGCATTCGCAGTTAAGAGGATCTCAATAAACTGCTGGGCAAAGTAAATCGTTCTCCAGGTAGCATCCTGCCCAAATTCCTGCTTCTGCTCAAGAAGATGAGAATCATCATGAAGCCAAGGACAAATAACACTCAAGACAGATGTGGTGCCAGGAGCCATGGGAAACCCCTCCTGGAATCACAGACTCCTTACAGAGCCACCAACACTTAATTACAAGTCAAGATCTGTTACCAATAGTTTACTTCCAACATCTTGTCTCTCCCACCTTCTGGTTTAACCACCTCTCTGATGTCCTGTTTACCACTAAGCACCCCTTTTTTTCTCTCACGCTTACTGTATTTCCTGTTATATTAAAAACATGCTCCTTTTTACACCTGAAACCTGATATAACTTTGTTTACTGGAATTAAAATTCACAACTTTAAAAAAAATCCTCCTTTTAGAAAACTTGGAAAAGCACAAAGAAATATTAAAAGAAAAAGTAAAAGAAAAAAGCAGAAGGCCTATTTGCCATAAAGCTCTTTTTTGCTTTCCCTTTCTATATAACATTTATTATATTTCCTATTTATATCAGTGTATTCCTTTTAGAAAACTTTAGAAATACAAAAAGCTATAAAAGGGAAAATAAAAGCAATCCACCCATCAAGGAGAAGTATATATTGGGTATGTAAAAACAATCTTGCTGCAGTGGGAGTCCTATTTTTAAAAAATATTTTGAACCCTGGTTCTGAGAAAAAAGCAACTTTAATATGAGAATGGTTAGTAGTTGATGAAAATTTCTGAAGGAGAGCTCTTGAACACTTAAGAGTTTTAGAGGTGATGGGCAGTGGCCTTTCAGGATGTCTTTTTTCCAGAATGCCTTTTCTTTTAAGTTCTCCTTATGAAACAGGAAAGGAAAAGACAGAGATGTTTCCTTAAGATAAGAACAGCCTAAGAAATAGGATTAGGGAATGAGGTTAAGGAATAAATACTCCTGTATGAGAAAAAGATTAAGGGCCCGGCCCAACAGAGCAGAAGGGCAAAGGAAAAAGGGAGATCAAGGTCCAGGCCTACTGATGGTGAAGTGAAGTGTCCAATCTCTGGAGCTGCCACCAGATGGCAGACCCAGCCCAGAGTCCTTCAGAGGAGGGGCTGCCCAGGAGGCTACAAGGGATGGGAGGAGCTGTTGCTCTGAGAGGTAGAGTCGGCCAGAATTGTGGAAGACCAAAGCTGTGATAAGTAAGGACTGGATGCCTTCCAACAGTGAATGAGAAGTGATCTGACCAGAGTAATGTTGAGGAGTAATTATATCAACATTGGATAGGGGAGCAGGAGATGTCTCGATGTCATTTAAAGGATTCTGTAATTCTAATCCATGTCACATTCTGCTGGGTGCTGAGTGCAAGCAACTCCCAATTGAACTAGATCAGTCCCCTGTTTGAAAGAGTAAAACAAGAGATGAATACATCCTGCCGATTGTATAGTAGCTTACGTATAGTAGCTTACGTTCTATTTCATGTTCAAGGAAAACAGGTAACTGCTACACAAAATAACGTGGATGAATCTCACAAACATAATTTTGAGAAAAAGAAGCCAGATAAGCCAGACATTACATGATTCCATTTATATAAAGTTCAAAACATGAAAGCTAATTGATGGTAAGAGAAGTCAGGATTGTGGTCACCTTTGAAGGATTGTAGAGACTGGAAAAGGGGGTGTGAGGGAGGCTTCTCAGGGGGGTTATAATGGTCTATTCCCTAATCTGGGGGGGTGGTTTACATGGGTATATTCACTTTGAGGAAATTTCGTAAGAGAATTTATAATTACCTTATCATTTGTGCGCTTTTCAATATTACATTATACTTGAATTTTAAGTTTTATCTTAAAAGTAAAATATTGAGGGTATCTGGGGTGGCTCAGTCGGTTAAGTGTCTGCCTTTGGCTCAGGGCATGATACCGGAGTCCCAGGATCAGAGTCCTACATCCGGATCCCGGCTCAGCGGGGAGTCCGCTTCTCCCTCTGACCCTCCCCTGTCTCGTGCTTTCTCTCTCACTCAGATAAATAAATAAAATCTTTTAAAAAAAAATAAAATACTGAATCAATAAGAAATGTTTTTAGGGATTAGATAGTGTGGAAGTTTAGAATAAAATACTGATTTTATAGTTACAAATCCAAAGTAACTGATGATTTTTGAATATCAAAATTAGATAAAACTGTTTACTCATAAAGGATTATGTTTTGCCCATTTTGGGATCTGGAAGAATGGGAGTGATTCTAAGAATACTTCTCCCTTGTCAATTTTCCTGCTTTGTCCCCCCTTTTCACACTAGCCTTTCACATCTCTAGGAGTCACTATGAATTATTAGGCCCATTTTCCCAGAGTGTGCAATATACTTGAATGCCAAAATTATACTTGTGACCAAAATTTATCTTTTAAAAAAAAGTAATTTTCAGATCAATTCTGCCTACTCTGTTTAGGGATCTGGTTGCCTCAAAATTTAAGAGTATTGAAAATGTTACTGTTTTATATAGCTGTCCTAAACCTGGATGAAAGGGGTTTGGTTGGGGGTGGGTGAAATATTGCTGATATTTATCTGACATTTTTTATGTCCGTCAGCTTCAGAATTATTTAAAACAATGAAGGGTGGAAGCACCCCAAATGTTCATCAATGGACAAATGGATAAACAGAATGTGGAATATAAATGCAATAGAATATTATTCAGCCATAAAAGGAATTAAATTCTGACACATGCTACAACGTGGATGAACCTTGAAAACATTATGCTAAGTGAGAGAAGCCAAAACAAAAGGACGATTATTGTATGATTCCATTTATGTGAAGTACCTAAAAATAGGCAAATTTATAGTGACAGAAAGTAGGATAAAAGTTACCAGAGGCCAGGAAGATGAAGGAATGGAGAATTATTGTTGAATGGGTACAGAGTTTCTATTTGGGATGATGAAAAATTCTGTAAATAGATGGTTGTGATGGTTACACAATACTGCAAATATACCTAATGTCCCTTAACTGTACACTTAGAATGGTTAAATGGTAAATTTTGTTACATATATTTTAACACACACACACACAAGGTTTATAAAAAGCCAACAAGGAAGAACTGAAAGGTGGCTGTCATCACACTTCCTGCTGTAACAGGGTATGACCCCATTCCCTCCTAACTCAGGACACTATAGCACCCTAGGAAATGTGTGTGTGTAAACGAGTCATAAATAACTTTTGCTTTTGTAACCTTGCCCATCCTATGGTTAGGGAGGACAGTCTTCTGAATGAGTTCCCCCAGATCTACCTCTGTTTGAAAATCAAGTTCATGACCATAAATGTGTTATTAGCCTCACATATGAGATTTGAATTTTTATTTCATTTGAGATTTTTTACAAGGAAATCAATGCTAGTTGGAGTTTGTTGTGAGTCTAGAAACTAATCATTCATTCAACAAACATTTATTGAGCACTTACTTTATAGGAACACTTAACATATCTAACTAGGAAAGCTCATACAGTCCCTGCCCTGGAGGGGTCTGCACCCAGCTGGGAGAGATGTGCAGGTAAATAGATAGTACATTAGTGTGTGTCACCAGGGGCTCCAATAATGGATCTATATATGCAAGAGAGGCCAAAATCTATTAGAGGCTCAGTGCTGGGCAGGTATTCCATTCAGTTTTGATTCAGTGCTTCCCCTGTTAATTACTTGCTCTTCAAATTACTACCAAATGATCATAAGTAATGAACTACTTCATGTATATACACTCTAAAAGAAATGTATCTATAGGGGGGGAAAATCTCAGCATCACACCTTGTAATAATTAGAGCAACATTTTAAGAGAACCCCAATACTAATTTGAATACTTTCTACTATGTAAATTGACTATTGCATACTGACATAATTCCAAGCTGGTTTTCTGCCTCTATCATCAACCCAGGATTTGTGTGCTTTAACTCCCCATTCCAATGCTTAGTGGACAGGGAATGCACTTTATTATTAACATGAGACAAAATAAAATTACCAAAGGCAAAGCAGGATTACCTGAGTGTCTGATTTAAATTCTCCAAAACTAAATAGCCTGGACCTTAATTCCAGTTCTGCTGCTTTTTCCTCTTCTCTCACACAGCTAGCCTTAAGCATTTCCTTGTGCTCCAGAAGAAACTCTATGTTGCTATTTCTATTGCAAAAGAAGAAAGAGACCCTTGTCTGTAATTTGTGGTTTGGAAATAAATCATCAGTCAGGAATTTCAACACTTTCCATATCATGTGTCAACATCCTATATCTAGCAAGCCAAATACGAGTTTATAGTTTAAGACATTGTAAAGTACATTCAACTTTTCAGGTCAAATGAAAAGAGTAAATGCATAGATGCTGCTTTAACTTGCACCAGGAAGCATGTTCTTCCTGTGGTTCCCCCAGAGCCCCCAAATAACAGCAGAATTGATGTGTCAGGAAGCCAGGTTGTGGTGTGATCTAGAGATGGGAAATCTCTTTTCCTGCCCAACCATACTCACCTCGTCCCCAAAACTCATACTGTAGGATTGGGGCACCATATGCTGTAAGGATTGTGAGAGAGGAGACAAGGATGAAAAGGGTACATTAGTGGTCCTGGGTGGCTGTGACATTGTAATTTGTAGGGTCTTAACTTTTGAGTAAGTTAATTTGTTCAAAGTTCAGTGTAGTTTGACCTACTGGTTTGAAAAGATTGCCATCTTTTGGCCCAGAAAACTCTTCCCAAAAAGGCTTTACACATTTTTATAATGGGTAGATAAACAGATTTATCCTCTGCAGTTTGAAGCTATTTGCCAATAGCGTCCAATATTACTTCCAATTATATAAAATTTTACAGAAGGAATTTTGTGAGTCATCAAATCTGGCCTCCTTCCCCTTACAGAAATCCCTTTTATGAGAGCCCTGCTATATCTACATATGTATGTTATAAAATGCTCTAATATTTAAGTCACATAACTTTGCTGAAAGTCACGGCCAAGGAAAATGCATTGATTAGCATTATCATCCAAAGCCTGATTTGATTAGCCAGATGGTAGAATGAAAACTGCACCAGACAAAACTTAATGAGTTGTGGAATCACTATGCTATATACCTGAAATTAATGTAACACATATGTCAACTATACTTCAATAAAAAAAAAAATTAAGGCACCACATTTAATTCTTTATAATCTTTCAAACTGCCTTTTATTATTGCTAGCTAGGAAAATATTTTGACAAGTGTAAGGAAGTAGAGACTAAAACTAAAGTCAGTCTACTCTGTGTAAATATAACTTCTACATTTTACACCCTACAATGTCAATTATTATTAATAAAAATCCCACCCTAAAACCAGAGAGACCCTGACCCTGAGGAAGGTTCACACAGGCATAAGTTGGATTCTGTCTCTGGTCAGAGACTGCTTAAGAGAATAAATCTACTTGTTCTTAATAACTTACATCTTATCCTGTATAAGTTTTTCTCTTTTATTTACATCTTCAAGATTTTCATCTACATCTTGGGAATACTGTACCAAAGTTAGATTCTGCTCTTCCAGCTCTGTGAGGACTTGAAGTAACTCTTCTGGTTCTTTGAAATAAAGCTCTGGCTCCTAATCAATCAGTAATGAATATAATTCACTTAAAAATATGCTACTTTTGCACATATGACTTATCTAGAAAAATACACTGGGGAAAAGGAATGCCATTCTGATTATGAGGAGCATGGGCAGAGAATGGCAAAGGAGCCTATTTCCATGAGAGCTGGCCTTCAGGAAGAGGACATTTATGGTTCTTGGGGAGATGAAAGGTATTATAGAAAGGGAAAGGAAGGTAAGGAAAACAGAAGAAGGGATGGAGCAGAAGAGGAGGTCAAGGCAGGAAAAAAGGAAAGATGGTTCTAGGGAAAGGCAGGAAAGGGAATAGAAGAAAGAAAAAGGAGGCTAAGTGAAGGTAATTTTCTCTCCCCATTTTATTTTATATTTTTCAAAAACTTCATAAATATATGTATTACTTTAACTAAATTTAATTTTTAAAAAGATGACTTGGGTATTTGCACACCATGTTCATCATATTTACTAGAGCCAAAAGGTGGAAGCAACCTAAAGGTCCACTGATGGATGAATGGATAAAGAAAAGTGGTATATCCATACAATGGAATATTATTCAGCCTTAAAAAGGAAGGAAATCCTACTACCACATGAGTGAACCTGGAGGACATTAGGTTCTGTGAAATAAGCCAAGTTACAGAGAGAAAAAACTGCATGATTCCACTTTTATGAGGTATCTAAAGTAATCAAACTCTTAGAAAGTAGAACCGTGGTTGCCTGGGCTACAGAGAGGGAGAATAGGGGAGTTCAGTGGGTACAGGTTTCCATTTTGCAAGATGAAAATTTCTAGAGATCTGTTGCACAACAATGTGCATATAGTTAACTATACTGTACATTTAAATTTAAAAATGGTTAGGACGGGGTGCCTGAGTGGCTCAGTCATTAAGCGTCTGCCTTTGGCTCAGGTCATGATCCCAGGGCCCTGGGATCGAGCCCCGCGTCGGGCTCCCTGCTCAGCAGGAAGCCTGCTTCTCCCTCTCCCATTCCCCCTGCTTGTGGTTCCTCTCTCGCTGCATCTCTCTCTGTCAAATAAATAAATAAATAATCTTAAAAAAATAAAAATGGTTAGGACGATAGAGTCTATGTTACTTTTTTTTACTATAATTAAAAAAAGATCACTTGTATAAGATGTGTTATATGTAATAATGGATGGTGTTTTGAAATGTTTTTTGTTCCTTGTGAGTTTCTGTGGTTATATTCAGGATGGGGTTAGCCCAATGTCAGTCTTGTAAAATAGAGGGCTGTTTTGCTGAAGGTTGATTTATCTTATGGTACAGCTACACAGCATATCTCAAGCTCCAGTAAAATGACAAGCAATCAGGAAGTGACTATTTTATTCTCTACAGGATGACTGTAGAGAATATATGTATCTCCTAAATTATTACCTTCTTATAAACATTTTTCATAAGATGATGACAAAGATGAACTATAGATGCAACTGGGAAACAGTGTCAAAATCATAGTTTCTTCTGGAAAGTTGTGGAATATTTGGAATAGGAAATTTTAATTTTAAAAGAAAAAAATGAGCACTTATACTTTTCATCAAACACAATATTTAAATCCAAAAAAGATAATCTGGTTACCAGATCATAGTCCATATCATTGTCTAAAAAGAATTCCAAGCTGTCTTCTGAACTGATACTCTCAGCGTGGCTGTAAAAGAAAGAAAATGTCTGATTTCTAAGCCATTTACAATCAACAGATTTGCTTCATTTCTAAATTGTCTTTGGAACCTGACTATAACATAGTCCTTTTCAATAGCCTTTTTAGCCTTTTAGGGAACTGCTGTTTGCAGGAATCAATGGATTCCACACATATGCAAAAGAAAATCAGATTCCATCCGGACAAGGGTGAAACAAGTGAGACCACAAGAAAAGGCCAAACCATATGGTACCAATTATTTGAGGTGCATTTATAAGAAATCTTTTTAAAGAAACACATGACAAGCTACATTGCTGCATCTGTTTTGTTCCTTTTAACGCAGGCTTGACAAACTAAACATGTGCTCTAGTGTTCAAAACAAAGCTTGTTCCCGGAGTAATACGATATTTGTCTTCTGAAGAGCGGATTTTACTTTTTTAAAATATCTTCTGATCAGGTTGGTTGGGGGGATGGGGGACGAGGTACACTCAAAGAATAATTATGTGGTTTGCGTAGCAGCTCTGGAAAAATCCTTTAAGAAGGATAAATTGAAAATGATTGGAAAATTAAAGAGGAAGAGACTAGGGAGAGTAAGGTGGCTGTTGGTGTGATCTAGGTAATTAATACGTTCAAGTAGAGGGTAGTGATGAAGGGAAGAGTGAGTAAATGGGTTGGGGAAGGGAGGAGAATCTAGAGATACATGAAAGAACGAAATCATGGGAACCAAGAGTAGAAAGAGCTACTGGAGCCAAAAGAGAAGAGACAAAGATGATTCTAACATTTGTAGTCTGTGAGCCTGGAATAATGGAAGTAGTCCTAACAAGATGGAAGACAGTTTAAGGATGAGCTAAGAAAAAAGTTAATATTTGTGTTGAGTTTGAGGGAACAAAATACCTATATGAAGCTGCCCTTTAAGCCATGGGAAGTAAGGTGTGGGAACATGGAGAAAGAGCCGTAAAAGTAAATGAATATTTAGGAAACATTCCCTGAGAAAGCATTTGATAACTACTGTCCACCCAGCTCTTCTCTTGATCCAGTGGTATCATTTTCTAATCAGTCTTCTCCCACCTCTCTGAAATTCTTGTTACCTTTTTGGTTTCCTTTTTGACATAAATGTCTGTGGTTCCTCAGCCTTCTTCCCCTTGCATTGTACCCACTCTTTTGGGGTTATTTCATCCTCTTTCATGGATTCTATCACAGCTAATATACTAATGGGTCCCACATATCTATCTCTTTCTCTTGAGCTCTAGACTTCAATGTCCAATTTCCAACTGGACATCAATGTCTACTTGGCTGTCCTACAAGGAGCTAAAAGTAGATCCAAAATCACACTCCTTATTTTCCTCTTCAGGCCTGCTCCCCTTACAGTGTTCCTGGTATTATTGAATGCCAATGCCATACAGCCAGTTACCACACAGAAATTTGGGAGTTATCTTTGATGAAATTTGGGAGTTATTTTTGACCACTCCCTTTTCCTCACACTTCCCCCAATCTTTATGTGAGCCTTTCAAAGCCTATCAATGCCACTTCTCCAAGGTGTCTCACAGCCTTTCCTTCTTTGTCCCCACTGTCACTCTGTGGTTGAGACAGTTCATTATCTCTCCCCTGACTTGTGACAGCAGGCTCCTAACTGGCCCCTCTTACCTCTAGATTTGTCTCCCTCCATTTCATTCTCTAAAATACTCCCACGTCCAATTTTCTAAAATGTAAATCTGATTGAGTCTCTGTTACACTCTTGCTTAAAACCCTCCGTGGCTCCCCAGGGCCCTTGGGACAAAGCACAGACTCCTTGGGATGGCACCACTGCTTACCTGCTCATGATACAATAACTATTCACCCCTTAAGCTTCTCACTCTCACCTTGTGGCCCAGCCATTTTGAGGGGGTGGGGGATGGGCACAATGTGAAGGGGAGTGGGAGATACAGGGTTCCAGTTATGGAATGAATAAGTCACAAGAATAAAGGCACAGCATAAGGAGTATAGTCAATGATGTCATAATAGTGTTGCATGGTAGCTACACTTGTGATGAGCATAGCGTTGTATCACAATGTTGTACACCCCAAACTAATGTAACATTGTATTTCCACTATACTCAAATAAAAAAATAAAAAATAAAGTAGCCAGAACAAACTTTTTTTTAAAAAAGCACAATAGGATATATACATCTATCAGAAGAGCTAAAATTAAAATAAATAATGAAAACAGTAAATGCTGATGAGAATGTAGAGAAACTGGATCCCTTGTTCCATTGCTGGTGGGAATGTAAAATGGTGTGGCCACTCTGGGAAACAAATTGGCAGTTTCTTTAAAAACTAAGTATGTACCTACCATCCAACTCAGCATTTGCACTCCAGGCATTTATTCCAGAGAAATGGAAATGATGTGCACACAAAAAATTGCACAAATATATTTATAGCAATTTTATTCTTTATAGCCCCAAACTGGAAATAATCTGAATGTCGTTCAATGACTGAATAGTTAATTTGTAGTGTGTCCATATATACTTGACTCTGTAACAATATGGGGGCTAGGGGTGCCAACCCTCTCTGCCGTCAGAAATCTGCATGTAACTTTTGACTCCCTCAAAACTTAACCACTAACAGCCTACTGTTGACCTGAATCCTTACCAATAAGTTAAACAGTCAATTAACATATTTTGTATGTTATATATATTATATACTATATTCATACAACAAAGTAGGCTAAATAAAAGAAAATAACAAAATCATAAGGAAGAGAAAATACATTTACAGTACTATACCATGCTTATCAAAAAAAATTTCACATATAAGGGAAACTGCACAGTTCAAACCCATGTTGTTCAAGGGTTAACTGTAACCCTACTCAACAATAAAAAGGAGCCAACTATTGATAGACCCAACAGCTTGAATGAACCTTCAGAGAATTATGTTCCATAAAACATCCAATCCCAAAAGGTTACATACTGTATGATTCCATTTATATAACGTTCTTGAAATGATAAAAATCAAAGTGATCAAGAACAGATCAGTGGTTTCCAGGAGTTAAGGGGAGGGAGGAGAGAGGGAAGTGGCTGTACTACAAAGGGGCAACATGAAGAATCCTCATGATGGTGTTCTGTATTTGATTGTATCTTGACTGTGCCAATGCCAGTATCCTGGTTGTGATATTGTACTACAATTTTGCAAGATGTTACCATTGGGGGGAACTGGGTAAAGGGTACACGGATCTCTCTGTATTATTTCTTGCAACTATATGTGAATCTACAACTATCTCAAAATAAAAACATTAAGAGCAAAATAAAACATTGACCCTTAAATGCCACAGAAGTGGAGTGACCTCAGGGTCCCTGGAATTTAGAGTACAGTGTCTGTGTTGACTTTTGTCATGTGTGATTGTCATGGATACTGTGGTGCTGGTCCTCTCCTGGGGGCCAGTGTACCCATCCTGGACATCAATATATTTTCTTAAATAGCCAGGGTTGAGAACTAGCAATTTATGAAATAATGAGTATGAATGAGTGAACAATCAAGTAAGGGACAAAACAAAAAAGCTTTATGGTCGGATTGCAGCAATTTTGAATGACATGGTAAAACTGCAAACACAGGGGTCAGCAGAGTAGCTTAGTAAACAATTGGGCAGTGGCTCTGAGAGAGGGCAGGCAGTTTCTGCAAACAGCAGTGGCAGGCACTCATCAAAGAATGTGCAGAGGCCTCTGGGAGTTTAGCCACCTCAGGAGCACCCGGAAATGGCAACCACTACCTCCAGTATCTGTTAGGACGGGTATGCGTATGTGGTATCTATGTTGAAGAAAGGCTAAAAGGGATATTTTCTGAAAAACACTCACAGTTTCCAAGAGAGTTAATCAAGTAGGTACCGTACCTTGATAAGGATGATTTCTTATTCTCTACGGTGAGAGTGGGCTTCTTGTGTGGTTTTCCTGTTCAAAATGTCCAGGCGAAGTCCGCATCATTCGTGATGGTGGAGGTGAAAAGAAATAACGTGGAATTAGAAATGAGTCCTTGTTATTTGGTGCAAGATAATCATTTTTTCTGCATGGATATGCCCATTCTTTTTATTATTATTAGAATGATAATCATAGAAAGTGGAGTGAGCTCCTCTCTTCCACCGAAATTGGGTTCCAAGCCTAAGAATAAAATCAAAGGCACTGGTTGTGGGGGGTGGGGGGTGCGGTGCAGGGTACATATTGTCAAAAATATGATAAAACTATTGATCGTCCCAAATCGGGGGCATAAATTGTGAAATATAATATAATATAATCATGGTTCTTTTTTTACCTAACCATATATATTTCATATGTAATCACAGATTTTTAAAAATCAAGGCAAAAAATAAAAAGGATGGACATTTGAATTGTTACATCTTGTGGAGGGGATGACTTGTGCCAGGTGCTCTGCCTCTGAGTTCTAGGCCCGTCCTGTCCATTCATCCTCTCCAAGTCTTGTAATCATGTCAGAGAGAAAGAGATGGAACTCCTAGCTCCCAAGGATTACGGGTGATGTGGACATCACCTTTTGTTTTCCAGATTAGCTCATAGGTCCCAGATTTCCAATTTGAGATGGGCACCTTCTCTGGTTTTACTTTTGTGAATGAAGTCCCAAATCTCTGGTGTTACCTTGGCGACGTCTTTCCATGTAATAGTCATCTGAAAATGATATCTTCCTGGCATCCTCATTACTGCCCTCTGTTTTCGTTGTATGTAATTCTAGAAATGAAAAACAAAAGGGAGAGAGATGGGGGGAGAACATTTCTGAGAATGAGAGGTTTGTCTCATGGTGAAGGTAGAGTTACTGTGAGAACTTACAAGGACAGAAATATAGGATGGGGACATTGTAACAAGCAAATGTATGATGCTGACGGCAAGGACTGGTCTCTGGACCAGGCAGAATGGAGGGCAACTGACCCACAGGGCATGAGGAGGTCTCTATTTCCTGCATCAGTCAACAGCCTGAAAACTTCTATAATCCCCGTGTCAGCCCTTCACTCCTCTGGACTGAGGGACTCATTGCCTTCTGAGCATCCTCTAGTTAAAGGACAAGTCTAGGGGCATTGAATTTTAAGCTGCTAAATGCAATTACTTCCTGATTTTCCTTTCTATAGGTTTTCTGTCTTGTCAGTGTATTGAGTTTAACCAAGTGCCATCATTGTGCTCAGTACTCAATACAATCACGTACAAATGATCTAAATCAGTCACAGCAAAGTGAGCTGTGACAGCCATCGCTACTGTGCTGGTAACTGTTTAACTATCAGCTCTCCAGAAGAGTTCTCCCTGGTTTGTAAAAGTTTACTGGCTTCTGTGGGGTAAATGCTCTTACCCCAGAGTCTCAGGATCACCTCTCAGCTGAAGACTCTGCAGAGAACTCTCTGTGTAGCTCGCTCTTCTCCAGTACTCTGCTCTGGGGACCCCAGCCTCCCTACACCCTTAGCTCTGTCCTTGCACTTCATGGGGACTGCTGGGCTCCTCCTCCCTCTGCTGCATCCTGGAAATGCTCCCCAGGCACTATGCTGAGGCCATGATTTGGCTCACCTCATTTGTCTCTCCTCTCTCACGGATCGTTCTGCTTCTCTTCTTGGCGCCTGATGCCTGAAACCTATTGCTTCATATATTTTTCAGATTTTTTTAGGCAGAAGGGTAAGTCTGGTCCATGTTACCCCAGTGTTGCTAGAAGTGGTAGTTTTCCTCTTCGATTTGTAACCCCATTTAATCATTTATTCAATTCTTATATATAATAGATCTATTTTTGGTCCGTTGAGCTGACTTCCTAATACCAGTACCATGCGGTGTTAATTTCTGAGACTCTGATAATATATTATATAATACTTTAAAAGATTAGTAATACTGGGGCGCCTGGGTGGCTCAGTGTGCTGAGCAACTGACTCTTGATTTTGGCTCAGGTTATGATCTCAGTCAGTGTCCTGAGATGGAGCCCCACGTTGGACTCCGTGCTCAGCAAGGAGCCTACTTGCGATTCTCTCCCTCTGCCTCTTCCGCTCCTGTGCACACTCGCACTCTCTCTAAATAAATAAATTAATTAATTAAATCTTAAAAAAATAGTATCAGAGATAGTGGGAATCCTTGTTCAGGTTCTGCGTAAAATAGGAATTCTGACTGTTTAATAAATAACAAACAAATATTGAAACAATGTTTGAGAATTAGAGCTATTTACTTAATTGAAATTAAGAATATGTGACTTACTTGTTAGTACTGGAAGACTGACATTCATACTCTCTCTATTCTTTGTCATCTGCGCCCTTTTCAGCGCTTGTTGGATTTGCCAGTGTTTTGGAGACAATTTCAGCAGAAAAAATCCATATTTCATGTACTCTCTAAGGAGGAATTCCGTTTTTGCTATCTCACTGCTCAAAAGAAATGAAGATATCATTAGAAATATCCATGTGAAAGCATGTTCATAAAAAAAGGTTTCACAAAATTTATTCCCTTGATTATGTATTTGAATAGTAATTTACATAAGAAAAATTGTTAAGTAGGGTCATAAAAATATGGGCATCAATAAGATAAGATGAGAAGAAAAAAACCCATAGGAGTGCTATTTGTTTTTTGTTTGTTTTTTTTTTCTTTTTAAAGATTCTATTTATTTATTTGAGAGAGAGAGAATGAGAGATAGAGAGCACATGAGAGGGAAGAGGGTCAGAGGGAGAAGCAGACTCCCCGCCGAGCAGGGAGCCCGATGCGGGACGCCATCCCGGGACCCTGGGGTCATGACCTGAGCCGAAGGCAGTCGCTTAACCAACTGAGCCACCCAGGCGCCTAGGAGTGCTATTTGAATAAAACATGCCAAGGATATACACACATGGAATAGACTGATGATAGTTGTACTCATTTATTCCTGAGGGAAATGTTGTATTAAATTTTAGACATAGGAAGAAATTAGAAGGTAGCAGAAGATGGTACTTTTGTGAGAAGAATAAAGAAAACACCCACGAGCACCTACTATGGACGCACGACAGAGTACCATTTCATTCTCTGTACAGCACTTTACAGTCGGTATAATTCCCATCTTTTGGAAGAAGAAATGAATGACTTGCAAAGTCATCTGTCTACTAAATGGCAGATCCGGCACTCAAACCCGGGTCTGGCTGACTCAGATGCCCAAGCTTTCGCCACCAATATCCAGGGACTTGGCCTGAAAGCCTCTCCCCAGCCTCACAGTGCTTTCCCATAATGGTGTTACAAAGTGGACCTCGAAGGAATGTTTACAAAAACAATGAAGTCCCTTGTGAAAGGATGCTCCACCCATATCCTTCCAGGCTTACTTAATCATACCATCTTTAATACCCTTATCGATATTACTCCTACACCAGTATCTTCAGCTCCGGTACTTTTTTCAGGCAGTGCCTTCCTTCAGCCGTGATGTGAGCGTGAGATTCAAGAGTCAGTAATCAGCTGGCTCACGTATCACACTGAAGGATGTGGGAGCCCCTCATTCTACTACCACTTTGTTATTAGATTGAAAGCCTCCCAGGGGTGTTACAAGAACAGGGTTAAAATGGCTAGCATTGGACAGCTTCCAAGCAAAAGCTTCAGAACAAGCTCCCTTCCCCTTTGTAAACAGATTTCCAGGCCTACCTGCAGTGGACGACCTTCCTGGGCCATCTCAAGCCCAAAAGAAAGAAAGAAAAAGGAAATAAATAGCAGGCACCTGTATCCTTTGTGCTGTTTCCTAGCTTGTTTTTCATGACCTTTGCACCTTTCTAGGATGATGAGACACATATACACTAAGCAAGTTCTTTTCAGCAGCGCTGTTTACTGGGTGGCCATTGTGCATAAATATAATACTCTCTGCAAGCCTCGAGGCTGCTGCTCTCGTTCTACAGATAGAACAGAATCTTCTAATTACATGATGGAGTGAAGGAAGGAAGGTAATTCTCCACCTTGGAATGCCTTCAACTTTAGGCTCCTACAAGAGAAGAGGCTCTGTAGCCAGAATGTGTTTGGAAAACACACATTCTGTTAGTAACAATTGGTTTAAAAGAAACTACCATCCCATTCATTTGCTGTATTTTAGACAAGCTGTTGTCCTCTTCTCCGAAAACTCTAGGACTTGGTTTTAGAGGAAAGGTAAGTATCAAATCCTCAGAAAGAAAAAAACAAAACAAGTTTTTGTCATGAAATTCCTGTCCAAGAATGATGATAGAAGGACGCTTCTTTAGATACTTAAAATTAGACCAAGTGAGATACACTTGACCACAGAAGAAAACATCCGGGCTTGAAAAAGAAAAAAAAAAGAGTGGTGGGTGATATAATAATTTTATCCCAACTCTCCTCCCTGAAATTTTTGTCATTTTAAATCCTGGTTTTTTAATATCAATTCTAGGTTCAACTAAGTGGAAGTGCCAATTATAGTTGAGAGATAGTTGTAAAAATGAATCCCAATTTCAGAGATGTTAAAATGTGGAAAGAAATATGCCTTCAAATGAATGAAAGAGGACACTTAGAAAATAATTTATGGTTTACTTTCAACATTGGCTTGCTTCTTTTCAACCAATTTCTAGGCTTCTACACTGACAAGTTACAGAAATTTTTCAGGCAGAGGTCACTGTACTCTGATAACCAGGCAGAGACAGAAGGACCTTGATCGACAGATTACTTATTTAAAAATGAGGTCATACTTAGGAAGTCATCAACTGATAAGGAATATTCCCACGTAGGTCTGGCTAGGCACATGTAGGTTTCACCAGGTCTGGGACATTCAAGAAGGAAAAGATGGTGCCGTGGGCTCACCTTTTCACCGCCTGTACCTCCATACTGGCTTTCTTTAGTTCTGCGGTCATTTGGAGTTTGTTTATAGTTTCCTGTGCTGCACTGAAAAGTAACGGGGATTTGTTAGTTTGTTTTATGTTGTGTTGTATTCCGAGAAACTAAAAAGAAAGAGGGAGGGAAAAAGGCAATTTGGCCAGAGTGGAAAAAAACGAACATTTTAAGAGCATCTACAGATTTCTGGTCATTTTCTCGAAGGAACTCTTCAAAGGCCAGTGCATCTTCTTGGAGCTTTTTTTCGGCTCTTGTGAGTTGCCGTTCCTTCGCCACCATGTGTTTTTCAAACTTTTTAATTGTATTTCTTTTGGTTGACAGGGCATACTAGGAATATTGAAAACAGAAGTGCACATTATGGCACATTTCCAGCTCATTGCTAGTACATTTCAACAGTCTCATAATAAAGGGAAAATAAGTTGCATAGTAAGAGATCACATGTATTAGAAATAATAGCATGCCAGGTCTTGAGACGATAGCCTTTATTTTATGAAGGAATTTATTTGGGGATCGTTAGAAGGGAGACTAATTCCTCTCTTTCACTTTTTTGAAGAGGCTCAATATTGTTCCAACATGGCTTTGTCCCACAAATCAAAAGTAGCTACATAGCCCCTCAGGCTCTATCCTAAAAAAATAAAAGTAGAAAACCAAAACAAAAAACTACATATCTCTCCAAAGGGGACTCAGGCTCTATCCTAAAAAATAAAAATAAAAAACAAAAACAAAAAACTACATATCTCTCCAAAGAGGATGTCTACCTGGTATTATCCACAATATCCCTCCAGTGTTTCTGGGCATTGGGAAATTGGGCTGTCTGCAGTGACAAAGCCTCCTCCATTAGGAAGGAGCACCAGAGAATGAGGTTTTCACCCTGCTATACCTATGACACATTCCTCCAAGCTGCCCAAGGGTAGGGGTGTTTAACCAGCCTTCAAGAACCCTGGGTAAATCCCCAAATACAACTTTGATATCTAGCTTTTATTTATTTATTTTTTTAGTTACAGAATATAAGAGTTCACTATGGTTTTTAATGCCATGCATGAACAAGGAATTATAAATAAAGTCACATACATTATAATATACATGAATTTAAATTATGTAAATGAGATCATTTTAAAGAAATAACAACCGGGGAGCCAGGGGCCAGATAAAGTCACCAGAGGTCTGCAGTAGAGGAGGGGCATGTGTGGAGAACAGACTGAGTGTAGGGAGCAAAAGTGGAGGCAGACCAGTGTTCAGAAGTTATAACAATAACTCATGCAGGTGATACCGGTGACATGGATTACAGTGGCAGCAGGCGAAGTCATGAAAAGTACTGTGAGTATGGATATATGGGGAAAAAATACATTTGAAAGTATATTTGGATGTGGATTGTAGGTAGGAGACTTGAAGATAGCTCCAATGTTTTTGGCCTAAGCAACTGGAAAAATGAAATCACTACTCACTGCGATGGGGGCACTCCACGAGATGCAGATTTGCAGGGGTAATGAAGAGTATAGAGGGGCAAAACTTTGGAAATGGGAAGTCTGAGGTGCCTACTGGGCATCTAAGTGGAGATGTTAAGGACTACAATTGCCTTTGTGAGTCTGGAGTTCAGGGAAGATGATCAGGGTAGAGAAATAAGTTTGGAAGTTGTTAATGGGGAAAGTGGAATTTAGAGCCATGGGCCTGGAGGAGGCTAGATAGAGCACAGGGCGAGGAGTGAGTCCGAGGGCGTTCCAACATGTGGAGGTCAGGGAGAAGAAGAAGAAAAGAAAACTGTGAGGAAGCGAGCAGCCAGTGATGAGGAAGAACCTAGAGACTGTGGGTCCTGGAAACCAGCTGAAGAAGACATTTCAAGAAAGAGGAAGTGACCGAATGAGCTAACTGCTGCGGAAGGGGAAGGAAAAGGAAGACCGTGAGGTGACGATTTGAACTTGGCAATGGGAATGTCACTGAGAACCTTGACAAAAGCCCAACTGAAGTTGTTTAGGAAAGGATCAGAGGCGCAATAGATCTGGAGCATGTAATGAAAAAATAAACTGTCAAGGTGAAACTTTGGCAATGCTCTGCCGGCGGTCTTCTGTTTGACTAATGGGAGAAAGAAATTATTTTTACTACCTCCAGCAGAAACCGGTCTCTCTGGTCATTAATAAATTCGTGAATAGTCCTTTTTGTGTCCACACCTTCAAAGAAAATTGAAATAGACTTAGGTTTAGTTCATTATTCCTCAAGAGCTTCTATAAAATAAAAGCTATGTAATTAAATTACTGTATATGCCATGTATCTGACTTAAAAAACCACTATCTCTTCAAGTAAACTTTTTTCCTAATCACTAAAAAACTAATTTCATAATAGTAATTACCATTTATTTTGTGTCCATCAAATTCCAAGAACTTTATTGGACACTTTAAATAAATCATTTTATTTGATCCTAACAATAACCCCAATGAGGTACATATTTCTGTACCCATCCTGTATGTGAGCTCAGAGATGTCAAGATGCTTGCCCAAGATAATGGAGCTAACACATGGCAGAAGGGACAAATGATTCCTAAGCCTGTGCTGAAGGAGACCGAGCTGTTTTAAATCTTAGTGTTTTGGCCAATCTGGATATAAAACCGAAGTCCTTTAGCAAAATGCGTGTGGGGATCACAAACCAAATTTACAGCATGAAAGAAAAAGATGACAACTAGCTTTACCATCTAGCACTAAAAAAAGACCAAAGTTTCCTTTCAAGGTTTCTTCATTCTGGAAAAATTACACATAGGCTGCATTTCACTGTTCGCTTCATGAAAAACCAACAGAATGTGGTATAGAACAAAGTCTCTTGATTAAAACGTAGATAGAAGTAGAAATAAAACAGTGTTTCCCAAATAACCGGTGAGCCCGCGCTGCACTGGGGAGCCCACAGTCTCCTTGGGTCATATTCCGCCTCCGCCTCTTACTAGCCATGAGGACGTGAGTAAATTACTCACCCTCTCCAAGCCTCAGTTTCCTTGTCTGTAAAAATGAGGATCCTAATAGTGGTAGATTGTATTATTGTTCCAAACTATTTTCTGCCCCTCTCTGGAAGAAGATTATCTCTCCCTCTCTTCGCTGGTATTGGGATTGACCATTGACTTGATTTGGCTCACTGAATGCCAGTGGAAGTGACCTGTGTGGCTTCCAAGCAGAAGTTTTAAGAACCACCACTGGTTCCCTCTTCCTCCCTCTGCCATAACTCCAGCAACATACCAGTCAGGGGTTGTTCCTTCAGTGCAGGACACATTGAAAAGCACCAATGTTGAAAGGTGAATGACAAATAAACTTATGTTGTTGCAAGCCACTGAAATTTAGGAATGGTTTATGAGCACAGCATAAATTAGTCCAAGTGGGTCATTGCTATTATCTCTACCTCAGAGTGGTATTGTGAGAAGGAAGTGAAGCAACATGCTATAAAACACATAATAACTTCTTTTTTTTTAGACAAAGAGAGATTGAGAGAGAGTGCGTGAGCAGGGAGGGGCGCAGGGAGAGGGAGAGAGACTCTTAAGCAGGTTGCACACCCAGTGTGTCAAGAGTAGACGCTTAACTAAGCCACCCGGGTACCCCAACACATAATAACTTCTTAACAATTGTTAGCTATTATTAAAAATACAATTGGAATGAGTAATCACTTAATTTTTCCAGGTCGATAATAATAGCAGCAATAAAATGATTATTTTAATCATTAAAAAATAGTTCTGTGATTATGGGTAACAACAAGACTTGGAGTCAGACAGGCGTTGGTTTGAATTCTGCATCCACCTAGTGACCTTTAATTAGTGATTCAATCTCACTGAGCCATTTTCATCAGAGGAGAAGAGACAGAAATATCTTATAGCATTTTGTTGAGGATTGGATAAAATAATATATGTGAAAGTAATAAGCACCTAGTTATAATGGTTTTCTTTTTAACACATAAAAGCTTTTTATTATAGAAATCCTCAACATTCACAAAATGAACTGTCTGTACCTCTCACCTACTTCAGCACGATCAACATCTTACATCTCTTGTTTCATCTCTTGTCACCCCTCACTGCAATATTTTAAAGCAGATCAAAGCCATCGTTATCATTTAATCCATAAATACTTCAGTATTTATTTATCAGATAAAAAAGTTTTAAAGCATAGCCATAATACAACTATCATCCCAAACAAAATGAACAATTCCTTAGTATCATCTTATACCTAGTCTGGGTTCAAACTTCCCCAGTGGTCTCACAAATAACTTTTTAGAATTAAAAAAATTAAAATCTAAACAAAGATCAATTTGGTTGGTATAACTCCTAACGTTAATTTTTTACCTATAACTGCCATCCCTTACCTCCTCCCAAGTACTACCATTTTTCCATGCCATTTACTGGTTTAAGGAACCCAATCAGGGGCTCCTGGGTGGTCAGTCGGTCAAGAGTCTGACCTTTGATTTCGGCTCAGGTCATGACCTTAGGGTCATGAGATCGAGCCCCACACTGGGCTCTGCACTGGGTTTGGAGTCTGCTTAGCATTCTCTCTCTCTCTCCCTCTCCCTCTGCCCCAACCCTACCCCCTCTCTCCCTCTCTTAAAAACCAAAAACAAAAACCAGACCAATTTCCCTGTAGAATTTCCTGTATAATGGATCTGGCAGATTGCATCCTGGTGGTATTATTTAACATGTGCTCAATCTCCCATGTTTGCTTGATCAGATTCAGGTTCAATTTACTTAAAAATATTTTTAGTAGAAAAGAAGCATGAAAGTGCTTACTGTAGCTTTCATTTGGTTACTTATGATGGGTCACATGAATTGGAATACATCTCAATATAAAAAATCCTATACTGTCCATTTGCTAAATATTATAGTCATGCTTACCATTTCAGGCTACTTTAACATGACACTATCTGGCTGAGTTGATGTGATTTTATTCTTCAAGTCTAAATAGACTGGTTATACTGGGTTTCCCATTTTGGCTCTTCTAGCTGTCCGGAAGGTTTTTTAACAAAGAGACCGTGTATGACAAAATCATCTTCCAAACACTAGTGTTCCTCAACACCAGAGTACCTCACCACTCACTGGGGATGTGATCCAGAAGTGTTGCTCTTTGAGAGTAAAACCACAGTTAAGCTGCTGGCTGCCTGGAGGGGGCACGTCTACTTTGCAGCCTAACCCATCTATCTGTGACAGTTGCCTGTGTAACTTCTTTGAGGTGATCTGGTAGTTGCCTTCTACTGCATACACAAAAATAAAGTAACTGGGCTCCCAAAGTAGGGGTCACTTGCCCATTTCACATCACGTAGGCTTGTCTTTTATCAGAATTCAGGCAGGAAATGTAAGGTTGGGAAATGGGGGTTTCAACCAAATTAACTCACAATTGGAAAGAGTCTGAGGGGGATTTCTTTATTCTCAATGAAAATGTCTAAATTGCTTCTCTGTGTAATCAGCAGAAACTGACAACCTGATTTCCATTGCTGACAGAGCCCAAATTGTCTTGGATAATACCAAAAAATCTTACCATTTCCTTGTTAAGAGTCTACTGTATGTCATTTACTGTTAAGGGACCAGTAACCCCTCTGTCACCCAGCCTGGTGTCGAGTAGGGTCATCTGCAAAGCCATATTTGCTAGTTCTCTCGGAAGTGGTAGTGTGGCAAGGATTTTTGAAGGTAGCCACTTTGTGTAGAACTCTAAAATATGTCATGTATTTTAAGTGCTCTTGATGACTTAGGGTTCACCATTCTACAGAGGTGAACTATGAGACACAAGACTGAACCTAGCTATATCCTATCCGTGGTATAGTCACTGATACTACCATGTAGTATCTTTCTATTTCTATAATAAAAAGTGCTGACATTTGCACTTCTTTGTACAACTATAGTGCAGAATATGCACCTCCAAGATCTAAAAAAGTTAACATGGCTTCCCTCTCCTACACTAATTATTGACTCCAAAGTTCTTTCCCAGGTGTTTCTTTTTTGTTGTTCTCTGAAGATTTTTTTTTTTTAATCACAGTTTGGCAAAGTTACTACAGCAAATCGTGGGCACTCGATATATCTTTCTTCCTCCCTTCTTCCCTTCCTTTCTTCCTTACTTTTTAATTTTAACTTAAAAATTTAGACAAGACTCATCTTGGGGGAAGATTTTATGACCCCATCATCCTAGCATTAATCACTTCAACCTCACTTCAAACTGCTTTCTGTCTCATTTGTAAGCATTTCTTGATCTGATAAGTAAGAAAAGTCCATGACATTTTGATTAACATATTGTTCCTTTTCATAGAGCAATAATTAACATCCTGTAATATTTTATCATGTTGCTCTCAAGTGCCATTAGAACAGGAAAACTTATTTAATTCTATTAGCTTCCTGATTCTGGATATATGAGTTGTATGGCATGGAAAATAAACACTTGTCTTTAGAAAGTTTCTATATATTTCTACATTTAGAAATGAGTTTAAATGGCCTTAGCCATAACCTTTAATACTATATCATTTTGGCAATGACTTTCTTCCTTAGAGCCATGAAAATGAGTAACAATCTATTTCTTGGAAAGGTATGTTTTCTTATTTAAAATAGATTTTGTCCCCACTCTCAGTTTCCATTTATAGAGAACCTCCCCCCAACCATAGTATGAGACAGCATACTTTTTTTTTTTTTTACCTCCGGGAAAGCCCCTAAACCTGACATTAACAGTAAATATTCAAAACAACATTCTTAAACAGTAATCTAGACTTACCTTCTGTTAATCTTAGAATAAAAGTGGGATCTAGCCCAAATTTCTCGAATGAGCCCCCAGCTGTGTCAGAATAGAATGCTACTTGGCCCAAGTGTGAACGACTCTTCATTCGAGATGAAAAAGTAGACTTCTGGTAGACTTTCATGCTGCGGTTTATAAATTTTTCCTGCCCAAGTGCAAAAGTTTAAAAGAATTTCTAATATAACAAAATAATGTTGTCTTTAAAAATAGTAATCAGATATAAAAATATCGTTTACAATAAGTCTTTCTTTCATTACTGGTAAATTTCTCATTACTAATACGTTAAACAAGCGACTTTGAGTTCTTATCTCTGAAGGACCCGGTACAGTTTGCAATTCCTTCTCTTATGAAGCTGAGCACAAATATAAAGACATTCAATATTTACTAAACATGTACATCATAAATACAAGCCTGAAAAGTGTTCTGGCTTTATTTCCATTTTCATTTTTATTTTTTAATCCTTGTCTTGCCCAACTGTAGGTAACTTGGAAATTCCACTGATTTGAAAGGACTGGTTCTGGGCGCCTGGGTGGCTCAGTTGGTTAAGCAACTGCCTTCGGCTCAGGTCATGATCCTGGAGTCCCGGGATCGCGTCCCGCATCGGGCTCCCTGCTCGGCGGGGAGTCTGCTTCTCCCTCTGACCCTCTTCCCTCTCATGCTCTCTGTCTCTCATTCTCTCTCTCTCAAATAAATAAATAAAATCTTAAAAAAAAAAAAAGAAAGGACTGGTTCTGTGGAATTGAATTGAAAACTTGAGAGGAAATGGACCTCCCCAGTAGACATAAATAAATCAGCCTTTTTTAAATTCATGAATCTTTGCTCAATTTAATTTTGGACACCTTCAATAAAACTATATAACACAAGCATAAAACCTTCACCTTACAGATGAATCTGTTATTGAGCATTTCTAGTTTCTTCATTCTAAAGAGGATTTTTTTTTAAAAAATCCCATAATCAGTCTTTACCTCTAGAAATAAGGAAAGCAAACCTCTTGAAATTCAAATCGTGTAATAAATGGTATAATAATATAAGTAGTGAGATTAACTGCACAGCACAGCTTTGTTAGCCTCATCTCTCGTTTAGCTTCATACCAAATAACTCTAAAATGACTCCCTCCTCCACTTTTGTTCCTCCTTCCTTCTCTGCCCCTCTTCCCTAATACATACATATACATTCTCTTATCTGTGTCTGGCTGGCAAATTTTAACTTACTCTTAACAGTTCAGCTCTGGCTATCTCTTCAGTTAAGTCTTTGTGTGCGTGCATGCCCAGAGACAACCACACACACACATACACACCACCACCACCATTATCCTTCTCTCCAACAAAGATGGTCACTCCTTTCTCTACATGTTCTTTGTTACTGTATTTTATCAACTCTAAGATACCATTTATTGTAGGTGCACTGTTGTTTTGTGCACTGCTAATTATGCATGGCAATCCATCTATATAAGCTGGATCCCAATTTCAGGAATGAGAAAATGTGAAAAAATTATGGGCATTAGAATCAATGAAGTGGGATCTACCATACTTGTCATATGTGATGGTCACAGTGTGTCTGTCTTCCCCCAGTGGGCAGTGATCATTAGGTCCTTACCGTGGGCTGGATGTTGTTCCTGTTGTGCGTGCTTACACCCCAGCATAGCATGCGATGCATACACCCACACCTGACCCCTTGTCTTAACCCAGCAAAGTTCATAAAAGTGATGGATAAGAGGATAAATTTCTAACATTAATTTGGATTGGACTTTTAATCAAACTTTACCTTTTTCTTTGCTGCCATTTCATTTTCTTTGTAAAGAAACAGATCTTTGAAAAAGATCTTATATGGCTTGTCCTTTTTGACTGAGTCATCTTTTCCTTTATCTGTTAAAAAAAAAAAAAAAGAAAAAGAAAAACATCTGTCATCCCTGCTCTTTTGACCAGAAGGGCGAGGCTTCCACCAGCCAGAATAGAGCAGGTGGATAGGTGGGTGTCTGGGAGGAGGACACAGGCAGCCTTTGCCCCTCCAACTGAGGCAGAGATTCAGGGCCTGCATCTCAAGGGCCAAAGACACAGCTCATCTGTCTGTTTTCCACGGCACCGAGCACAGTGCTTAATACTTCAGGGGGAATGAGTTTGTATTTGTTATGTGAATAGATAGGGGGCCTATTACAGGATAGTGGGATCATATTTTGAGGCATTAAGATTTTGCTTCTTCCCATCACTACAAATATATGTACTATTACCCTTACACCGCCCTTTCGGCAGCAATAGACACAGCCACTACCCTTAGGGACATCCTTGGTCCAGACTAGAGAGTCATCCAAAAAACAAAACAAAACAAAACAAAGATAATGACAAGTATTGGCAGGGGTGTGGAGGAATTGGAATCTTAAACTTCTGCTAATGGGAATGCAAAATAATGCAGCCACTTTGGAAAACAGCCTCAAAAAGTTGAGCATATATTTGCCATGTGACCCAGCCATTCCACTCTTAGAAATGAAAACATATGTCCATATGAAAACTTGTACGTGAATATTTATAGCAGTATTATACATAATAGTCAACAGATAGAAACAACCCAAATATCCATCAACTGATGAATGGATAAACAAAATGTGGTATAGCCATACAATGGAATATTAATCAGCCATACAAAGGATACATATTCTGACTGATGAAACTTGGAAATATTATATTAAGTGAAAGAAGCCACATGAAGTCCCTACATTATAAGATTCCATTATATTCCATGAAATGTCTAGAATAGGCACATCCATGGAGCCAAAAGGTAGATTAGTGGTTGCTTAGGGCTGGAGGGGAGTTAGGGGGTTATGGCTAAGGGATGCAGGGTTTCTTTCTGAGATGATAAAAATGTTCTAAAATGGACTGTGGTGATGGTGGCACATATCTGTGAGTACAAACCATGGACTTGTATACTTAATAAAAGAGAAGCCTGGCCATGAGGGGACGGGTGATGAAAAGGGAGAGGAAGGGAGGGAGAGGGAAGTCCACTAAATTTCTGAATGGATTTTTTGTTTTTATTTATAAAATCTGAAATGATAAAAGGTCTTTCTCTTTTTCTTTCTTTCTGGCTTTTTAATGCCTGGGGGTGGAAATTTTGGCTTCAGAGACTAAGAGCCAAAAGCAGGAATTCTGGAGCTTAGAACTGACAACTTAAGTCGGAGAAAGGGAAAGGATAACTGAAAACACATCCCCCATCCCGCCCCAGCCCCTGCACCCACCTTCACCTCCCAAAATACCAGAGTATTTTGAAAGTGGCCCTCCTCTCTAAGTGGCTGAAAGATACAACAGGCATGGGAGTTATTGGTCTGGAGCTTAAAGGCTGCCTGAGAATTGGCTGTTTGCCCAGGGATTCAGTTGGGAAAGTGGGGGATGTCTGGGATAGAAACCTCAGGCAGGTTCATCTGTAGGTAATGGGTTAGGAAGAAAGAAAATTGCAGAGTGGAAGCTTTGAGCTCAACACGGAGTGTGCGGTGTTCTTAACCCCTCGATTCACCTTGTGGGTAAAGGAAGGATCCCTTCCCCAAATAGTATGAGATGACCAAACATATGACACTCCACACTGGACTGATGAGATAGATAGCAGTTTATTAGTCACTTATACTCATAGCCCTGGGGAGGAGGACACCACCTGCCATGCAGGGCCACGTCAGGAGCAGAGTGAAACAGAGGGATGGCAGGAGGCAAGCTTTGTAGTAACAAGAGGGTGAGGTGCCCCCTGCTTCCCCCAAGAGGATGTAATTGACTTGTGGAACCCATCAGGATGAAAACCAGTAGAGTATAACTGGTCCAGCTGATGAGGAAATTGCTGGGTTGGGAACGTGTCTCACTGGGTGGAAGTCAAATCTGGCAAGAACAGGAAGACTTACAGTTAGGTCTTTGTGGCTCTGTGAGGCTCAAAGATGTCAAGGCAATACATGAAATCTTAGGCCTTATAATACATGAGCAAAGACAGGTGAGGGTGGGTCCAGGCAGCTGGGCTTGGAGACAGCAGGAGTGTGGAAGGGCATAGCCAACAGGCTGAGGCCCAAGAGGAGGCAACAGAAGTCAAAGACCAAAAGGGACTTGGGGTTGAGAGGCATACAGAGTTCATAACCTGTACCCAATACCACCACTCTCAGGCCAGAGCTAGACCCGACATCCCAGGATGGGACCACTGATGCCATCCAAAGGGTGATCATTGGTAGGCTGGACATCTCTCCCTCAACCAACCCTCTCTCCTCCCAAGATAAACCTCACAAACTTACTGTCCACCCCACCCTAGGTGGCTTAAAGTCTTGAATCCTGTCCAACCAAGTTTCAGTGTCCTGGATTGACAAGATATTTTTTCCCCTCCAAGTCCAAAGCCAAGTTCCTTTTGGTTATAAAGAAATAGAAAAAACTAAACTCTAAACACCAAGTATATTAGTTTCCTATGGCTGCTATAATAAACTATAAATTTGGCAGCTTAAGACAACAGAACTTTATTCTCTCGCAGTCCTGGAGTTCAGGAGTCCATAATCAAGGTGTCAGTAGGACCATGCTCCCTCCAAAGGCTCTGTGGGGGAATCCTTCCTTATCTCTTTGAGCTTCCGGTGGCTTCAGGCATTCATTGGCCATGTAACTCCAATCTTTGCTTCTGTGTTCACAAGGACTTCTTTTTCTCCCAAAGACACTTGTCATTTAGGATTTAGGACCCACCGTAAGTCCAGGATGATCTTGTCTTGAGGTCCTTACCTCAATTACATTTGAAAGACCCTTTTGCCAAATAAGGTCATATTGCAGGGGTTAGGACACGGAGGGCTACCATTTTGGAGGGACCACTTTCAACCCATTCTAACAAGTTTTTGGTATAAAATTGTTATAAACTGAATGAGTGAATTATAAACTCACTGTAAGCACTGGCCCTTAGCCAACCCTTCTCCCCACCTGAATCACTTCCTAGTCTCACAGAAATGGGGCTGCTATAACAAATCACCATAAAAGGAGGGCCTTAAAACTGCAGACATTGATTCTCTCACAGTCCTGAAAGCCAGAAGTCTGAGATGAAGGTGTTGGTTTGGTTCCTTCCGGAGTTTCTGTGGGAGAATCCAGGGCATGACTTTCCCCGAGCCCATGGAAAGTGCCTACAGACTGCCTGTTACCTGTAACACACTCAGGGTGTTATCCAATGTTCAAAGCTTTGTCAAATTTGTAAGTGACAAAGAAGTTCTTCTTCTATACCAATAAATATGAATTCCTTGTATACTTGTACAGAATCAGGAGGAGGAGAGAAAGGCTAGAAAAGGAAAGGAGAGGACAGATTTTGATAAAATGTAGTTATTCATGTCCTTTGTTAAGACAAATAATTGAGTTAATTGTCTTATGTTATGAAATTCCCTAGCAATCTAGTTAAATATGACCGTTTATTGCCTCTCTGATGTGAAGATTTTTCTTTGCAGAATTAAAAAGTGGAAGAGAACCTTCTCAGCAGGCCATTCATAAACTCTTTACATAGAAAGGCCATGTCTGATGCTTGTCGTTTGGTATTTTCCTTTTCTACGTTCCCCGATCTACTGGGGAGACGGACCGTACCAGGCACAAAGTAAGAGCTCATTGACAGATTTCCTCTTTACCTTCAGGAGCCAGTGATATCGGCAAAAAATAGGACATTTTGTCTCCTGGCCCTGTCCAAAGAAAAGGAAAGACATTAAAAATAAATTCTGTAAACCTGAGCATCGGGTGATGTATCACTAAATGGTACACCTGAAACTAAGAGAACATTGCATGTTTACTAACTGGAATTGAAATAAAAATTAAAAAAAAAATAAATTCTGTAAACCTTGTGTAAAGGGGCAAATTCACTAGCCAGTGATTCCAAGTAGCCTTCATTGCTTTTAAAAGCACAACCTCTTTGGCCCAGCAATTCCAAATCTGGGAACTTATCCCAAGAAAATAATCGGGTAAGTGGGCAAAAATAGTATGTACAATAATGTTTGTCGACGTGTTATTTAATAAACAGGGAGTTGATTAAATAACTCTGGTATACCCATAACACGGATTGCCCCGTGGCCCCTCAAAACAGTTCTGTAGTCACTATTCCCTCTATTAACTATATATTAAAAGTGAAAAACAAAATACTCCAAAAGGTGGGAGTAGCGTGGATAAAAAAACACCTGCCAAATCAGATGTTTTGAAAAGTTGTTCACCAAACATTAATAGGGGTGGTCTTTGATTTGGAGCAGGAGGCATTTCTATCAGGTTTGGGATTAGGGTTAGGTGCAAAATTCTTGCATTTCTATCAGGTTTGGGATTAGGGTTAGGTGCAAAATTCAAGGAAGTGGCCCCCAAAACTCAGTTATCAAAATAAATAAAATGTTAATGCAATTTTTTAAAAATTCCAAGTCAATGCAGGAAAAAAATCCATGGTGAACAAAATATCAAGACCTTAAATACAGACAGGATCTGACTGTGCGCCCCACGACCCGGAGAGCAAGCCCCTCCCTTGCCACACCTTCGTCCGGGCCCACAGATCTCGCCTTTATGTACTTTTTTGACATTTTGTTCATCATGGAATTTTTTGCATTAACTTTTATTTTTAAAAGTAGTGAATTAAAATGTTGCTTGTGTTTGCCCTCCCCTTTAGGTTTTGCACCAAAGGTAAATGTTTCCGTTGCTTCACCCTAATCCTTGTCTTGAATTTTTACACTTTTTTAATATTATTATTTCTCAATGAGTTTGCATAATTTTTACAATAAAAAAGTAACAATGCTATTTTCATTGGGGGAAGAAAAAGGATATTCAGGAATTTATATAAAAAGGTGTGCCCACACCAGGAACAACGGGACAAACAGCCTGTTTCAGGTTGCCTGTTTAAATTTATGCCCCAGTTATCTCAAAGAACCACGTTGAAGAGACTCCCAGAGGCATTTGTAGAAGATGATTAAAGATCCAGACTTTGGAACAGAGAAGCCTGTTGGTTTGATATTTACAGATGTGTGAGCAAGATCATTTAACATTTGAAAAATATTTATTGAGTATCTGCTGTGTGCAGGTATTGTTCTGGATGCCAGAAACAGGATAATTTAAAAACGATGACAACAATAACAAAAGACAAAAAAAAAAAAAAAACACACACACACACACACACTTTCTTCGTGGGGCCTACATTTTAATTACTTAGCAGCTCTGAGCCTCAGGTTCCTATTCCATAAAATGGGAATATAATCTCACCTCTTAAAGCTTTTTAAAGGATGCGATGACATAATGTGTATAAACAACCAAGCAGGGCACCCCTAACACCCAGAGCAAACTCAGTAAGTGGGAGAAATTTTGTGCTAATATTGACCAAGGAGAATGTGATTTTACTTCCAGTGATTATAAAAACAAAAATGAAAAAGAGAAAAGAAATTATGTTAAAGCTTGTAAAAGAAAAAGATTAACAAAAACCTACGTCATTGATATTATACTTTTTCAGATTACTGAAGATTTTTTTTCCACAGGCATTGAGTTCATTCTGACAGTGGAAAAGAAGGGTCGGTGAAAAATTGATGACAATCTGTTGGGTTGATGTATTTGGAATTTGGATGGCCAATATTAGGAGGTTTTTGTATATTTACACACGCTGTACTCATCTAAATCCCTAAGATTCTGCTCACCTCTTTCTTGACATACTTTTAATCTTTCAATTCTCTTATCTATCTAAATTCACCCCCCTATCCATCCCTACTTTCATTCATTTTATCCTAGTCTATCTGCAACAAAAATCTTTATCCATGGATTCTGGCACCTTTTCCCTCCTAGAAAGACCAGAATTTCTCATTCTTCTAAACCAACTGCTAGAGCTCTGATTCCAGCTCTCCAATAATTCAGAGAACATGTTGAATGGAACCAGTAATCTCTAGAAGTTGTTATACTTCTATACTTATGTACCTTTAATCTCCCTATTGATTAATGAAGGGTTGGTGAAGAACAGAAGAGAGAAGAAGAGAGCTAGCTATTCCTAGAAGGGATTATAAGTTTCTCTGAACTAAACCAATATGATGTGCCAATCAGGAAAAGAAAGTCAAAGTCAGTGAATGTCTTTGTTGTACAAAATAAAAATAGCATGACTAAACAAAAGCTCCATACTGAAATAGAGGGAAAATGTCATGGATTGCATAGCAAATGCCTGTAAATTCATATCTAAAATATATGTTTAAAAATATATATATGTTCAAATCCAACTTCTGACAGATGAAAAAGATGAAGAGCTCAGAAAAATGAGGGCCTTAAAATGGTGATGTGTGACTTCAAGCCATTGTTTTCAGAGGTGGCAGAGGCTAGTGGGGAAGAGCATGGACTGTCATTCTGCTCCTTAATCCCCACGCTTCAATTTCCCCATCTTTCAAAAGGGCGGATAAGAATAGCATCTACCTCATGAGATGGTTAGGTGAGTTAACATGTGTCCCCCACTTTGCACAGCATCAGGTGCTCAGTGAGCACCATAGCAGTGTAAGCCCACGGGGAAAGCATTCTAAAGAGGAAGGATGCCTGGTGTATTTGAGGAACAGCAAGGAGATTCGTGGAACTTAAGCATAGTGAACAAAGCACAGAGTGATAGATGAGATCAGAGAGATCTCGAGGGCCCTGTGGGTCATTTCCTCAGTGAAATGAGAATTTGGAATGGACCACTCTGTCTGCTGAGCTGGGAAGAGACTGTGCACGAGGGTGAGGGTGGAGTAAGGCCACCTGTTGGGAGGCTACAGTCATTGGGAGGCAAGAGATAATGGAAGTGGTAAGAGGTGGTCAGATTCTAGATACATTTGGAAAGAGCCTACAGGACTGTGATGGTTTGGGTGTGGGGTATGAGATAAAGAGCCCAGGAAAGAAAGAATGGAGCTGTGATTGATAGAGACAGAGCAGCTGTGGGGGAAGGGGCAACTGGGAAGATCAAAGGTTCAGCTGGGAACATGTTACATTTGAGATATGTTAGACATCTACTAAAGGGATGTGGGTGTAAAATATACTGTTCTCCCAAGTGAACACCATACCGGTTGATTTAATTAATGCTAGCATTCTTCTAACATTATGAAATTATATGTGGCCTCTGAGTCAGATTTTTGATGCATATCATCACAGGGGTAGCATGGATGACCCTATGGAAAGACCTTGGCCTTGATGCCAGACAGGTTTGAATCCTGCCTCTGGCTCTTATCAGCTCTTTCTCTTAGGCCTATCCAATGAAACTCAGCGCAACTTAGGTTCTTCTATCTGGTATGGATACTAATATCTTCCTTAACAGTCTTGTTGCAATTTTCAAACACAGGCAATGCATGCAATGTGCCTACTCACGATAGGCTGATAGGGAAATAATTGCCTATAATTTCTTCAAGGCAGATATCAGATCTGATTTGAAAAGGAGAGATAACTGACGACCAGCTTTCATAAGAAACCCTGAACTCAAATTCTCAAAACCAGTTCATTGGAGAGGAATCTACCAGCAATATCAGTGCAAACGTGGGGAAACTGACCCATCTTCGTGCACATTCTTAACATTCCAAGCTTCATGGAAGTGGAAAAAGAGGAATGGGGTTTTATAATGCCCAATCCCAAAGTCCAAGACCAACTCCAAATACAATGAACAATAACAGTATCTACCAGATATTATTCGAAGCAGTTTCTGCTTGACTTTCTCAACAACTCTCTCTGCAACTCAGTGAAAATGGATTTCCAGTTTCTCAGTAGGAGATAAAAAGCTTTGTTTATCTCCCATATGCAAACAAAGATTTAGACAGATTCAGACCTAAAGCCTTTCTGTTTTTGCCCACCTCCTTCCCACCCACTTGGACAAATACTAGGAGAAAGGGCTGTAAACTGTGTCCTTGGATGGTGTGGGGAGACCAGAGCTAGCAACTTTTTGTTTACCTGAGAGCCAGGAGCCACTAGGTCCTTGGCCTGCTCAATGACCTGCCTCTTTTGATTGGGTCAGAAGCAGAGCACGGGGATGAGGAAATTACCTTCAGCTCGACCTTTAAGGCCCTGCTGGCGTATTTTGTGTGGACTTTCCTGTTGACATTTCTGACTGCCCCTTTTGCAAAATGAAAACAAAACAAAAAAAGCAAAAAACACCTGGGGGCCAAGAGGAAGGAGGAGAACAGGAGAAGACAGCCAATGTAAGATGATGTAAAAAGTACTGTGTGAACTGAGAAGTGCTATGGGGGTGTTGGTTATCACTGAGGAAATTATCTATAACTATGTATTTTAAAATGACCAAGAGGGAGAGAAGCCCACTCTTGTCCTCCTTGCTTCTGCAAACTTCTTGTTTGCAGGGGCTTTTCAGGCTATGTTGGATATCTGGACTGTCATCAACGCACTCCGTTCACCCACAACTCAACAGCCCCGTGAATAGAATGACCATTTCCTTTTGACTTCACCAAAACTTGGAAGCTTTCAGTTCATGGCACATTCTGTGAACTCCTGGCTGAGATCTCTTGAATTTAATTGACCAAGAGCAGAAATAACAGGATGAAAATAAACTAGCAGCAGCAGCCGCAGTAGTAATAGTATAATAATAAGAAGAAGAATTACACCTATTATTTAGAACTAGGCACTGGGCAAAGTGTTTTCCATTTCATCTTCTCTAAAGCTCAAACAAGTCCATAAAATAGAAAGAAACAATTACCCCATGAGGAGATGGATGAGAAAACTGAGGTTTGGGAAAATTAAGGACATTTCCCAAGGTCAAATAGCTCATAAGTAACAGAGTGGGGTTAAGACCAGTTTATGGAACCCAAAGCCTTCTATATTTCTATAATGTCACCCCCTCCTTTACCCCTACAACTTCATAAATCTGCACATATGCCTGTAATTGCAAAATGGAACAGATTCGTCTTTAGCAGAAATGTTAGAAAATTTTAATATTTCTCTATGAATTAGTGACTTTATGTATTTGCTCTTCACTATTTCTATTTCCCTTGTATTATTCCTCTCTATATACCTTTCTCTTTAAACTGTGTATAGACACACACACACATCTGTTTGTGATTTTGTGTTTGTGCGGTGAGTAATATATGGATTCCACCCCCCCCCCCCGCGGGGTCTCTTTTACTCACATTCTCTATTGAATTCTTTTCCATTTTTTTCCTTTCCTCTCTCTTTCCTACCAATTGATTTCTCTCTTGTAAGACCAAAATACAAAGCTAGAGCATATTCTTATTTATTGTGTTCATCTAAAGGATTTTTTTGCTTTCTCTTGTTTTTTAGTGGCTTTTAAAATAACCCTAAATTTACTTACTTTTATATTTTATGGTTTTACAGGTTTCAGCCTTTGATGGTCTGTTATTCCTGTTTATAAAGTGTCTTCCTTTAGAGTGTAGTTTTTACGAGGCAGGGAAAGTGCGTTTCCTGTCTGTATGTTCCACAAACAGCCTAACACAGAGCTTCTAATAAAAGTGTATAAAAAAATAAAATGATTAAGACGTAAAACCCAGTGCCTGCCAATGTTTTCACAGCAGTTGAGAGGTGAGAAGAGATGTGGGTGAGAATTACAGACCATCTTCCTTAAATAAACTTGATTCCGTCTCCAACCTTGGCGGCAAATTGAGAGTGGGCGCCCCCAGATACAGCTGGGGTGAGGAGTGGGGGCGGACACGGGGCTGAAACCACGTTTACCTGCAAGAGTTTGGATCCAGGAGCCGGTCCAAACCTATCCTTCAGAAAGGCGTTAGCGGACGCTGGGCAGAGGCGCCAATGGATTTTCTAGTCTCGGCTCTATCCTCCCCCGCCAGGATCCCCCTTCATCTCGGGAACCTTCTGGTAGGGGATCCCGGAGCGGAGCTGGCCAACCGAAAATTGTGCGCGGCACCCGCCACCCTGCTCCACGGCCGCGCGGACCCAGGAGCAACTCACCGACCGCACCCCCTTCCTCCTCACCCTCGGGTTCCCTCTGCCGGCCGCCCGTCGCGTCCCAGCCCGCTGGGCAGGGGCTCCCCGACGCTGCCCCTCCCGGGTCTCTATGCTCGGGTCCCGCCCCGGCCCCTGGGGAGAGGTTTGCCCCACTCAGCCCCATCTGGGCGCCCTGGCCCTTCGGGGACCCCCCTTCCGCCTGGCCCTGTGGTCAACGGAGCCAGGTAACCCAGCTTCAGTTTCCTAATCTAGAAAGTAGGGACAGTGGTCTCCACGACATTTACCCAGAACATTGACTGGGCGACCAAAAAAGAGATTCCATGATCGCGTTTATTACTAATCCTCACTCGGGTTATTGGCACCAGCGCTGCCGCGGCGCTGGCCTGGGGGAGGCGCGCTCTCCGGGGCAGCTGGGCAGGGCGGCGGCGGCGAGCGCCCGCCCCGGCTCCACCCTCCCTGCCCCGCGGCGCCGCCCGCCGACCCGCCGACCCGTGCCCTCCTCCGCCCGCCCGCCCGCCTGCCCCGCGCTCGGGCCCGGTGGCCTCCCGGAGACCCGCGGCGCGCGGCGACATGGCAGGCGGCCACCGCCTCCTGCTGGAGAACGCGCGGCAAGTGGTGATGGTGTGCGGCCGCGGCGAGCGCTTCCTGGCGCGGGACGCGCTGCGCAGCCTGGCGGTGCTGGAGGGCGCCAGCCTCGTGGTGGGCACGTAAGTGGCCGCGTGCTGGGGGCACCGGGCAGCCGAGGCCAGGCCTGGCCCCCTTTCCCTAACTTGGGCGCTGTGGAGGGAAGCGGGTAAAAGCTTTCCCGCATCCAGGGAGCCACCGCGGGCCTGTCTTTCAGGCACCTGTTGCTACCTACCTTGTGTGACAGCTTCGGGTAGTCATTCGGTGAAAAAAAAAAAAACGTTCTCAGGCTGAACCCCCGTCCCTCTTCCCCTCTACCCCCAGGTCTTTGGAATCAGCATCTCTGGGGTGGAGTTCTGGGACTTTGAATTTTTACAGAACACCCTCCAGCCCAACCCCCTTTGTACACTAAATTTGAGAACCACGGAAGACGTTCAGATGGTGATGGTTTGGGGCTGATAAGAAATCCAGAAAAAGAGGACATTTTCAGTTGTTTTTTCATTTAACCCTCTGTGCTTCCTGCTAGACGTGACTAAAAGAACAGCCAAAGTTTGGGAGGGGGAACCTGCAGTGGGAGTGGGGTTCCGATGCCGACTTGAATTGGAGAGCCCCGCCGCCCCGCGATTGCGCAAGACGGCCTCAGCCCTTATCTGAGGCTGCTTAGGGTTGTGCAAGAGTCCAGCTTTTAGGGACCGTGTGTTTTTAATTAACAAAGGGATAAAAACATTCCCAGTGTTACTGTTAAAAATTTCTTAAAAACCAGTTAACAGAAGTGCACAGAGGTAGGAATCCAGGGCTAATTGATGGCCATACTCTATGGAGTTCTGAGGCCCTACTATGTTCCTCTGCTGTGCACAACCCTTTCTCACTCCCTCATCCAAGATGGCTACTCCACCTCTCCTTACGGAGTCTACCTTCCAGACAGTGGAAAATAGGAAGAGAAAACAGACCTATTGGTTAGAATTTAGTCAGATGGCGGCACCTGGATGATGGGAAACCCAGAAATGTAGGCTTTATTCTGGGTGTTCATGTGTTCAGCTAAAATTTAGGAATCTAGCACTGTGGGGAAAAGGGAACATTGATCTTGGGGAACAACTAGCCATCTCTAAATATACATATGATTTGACTCTTTGGCTTCCATGCGGCTGCAGTCATTTTATTTTCTTCAAAGACACAGATGCAAGAAGGAAATAGGATAAATGTTGACTGATACCAAAAGACATGGGCAACATATTTTAAATCCTTAGTCAGCTTTTCCACAGTATTTCCCCAAACTTTGGTAATTATTTCTTGATTTTTCTTCAGGGATGGCCTTATAAAAGCCATTGGTCCTGCTGATGCGATCCAAAAAATGTTTTCCGAAGAAAGGTTTGAAGAAAGAATTGACTGTTCTGGGAAATGCATCTTGCCGGGTATTAACCTCTTTTTTCAGTAAAGCCCTGCAACTAGTTTTAGTAATGTAAAGAGGAAGAGTGGCAGCTTCTTTTAAATAGGGTCTCAAAATAATATTAAAATATAATAATAGCTACTGTGCATTGAATTTCTACTACTGAATGTCTAGGTGCTTTGCAAACATGTTTTCATCTTGAATCCTTCTAACTGCCCTGTAAGGTAAAAGTATCCTTATCTACATGTTATGGATTAGAACACTCCAGTTTAGGGATGAAATATCTTACCCAAGATTGCTGGACAGGGAAAGGGCAAGCTGGGAATCAAACCCACTCCTTATGTCACTTTGTCCCACTCACACGCTGAAGAGAAACCGGTTGTGTTGTGTTTAGGTTCAAAAGCTGTTGGAAGAACTTTACTAATCTACTTCATATGGGATGCAGAGAGGGCAAGCTGCTGCTTCTAATACCAGAATAGATTCTAAATTTACATGGAGTGTGAAACAACACATCTCTAGACCAAAAAGTAGGGGAGGAGGGAATCCCTAGAGATTTCACTGAAGTTTATTTATATCTTAGTGATTGACAACAAAATCGGTTTGTTAACCATCATCTCCCACATTATGTTTTCTGGCTTCATGAAATCCTCTGAAACGAGTTTCACAAATTTTGAGTCCTACACAAAACATAGAAGCTAAGATTTATATTTTTAAAATGTCTACTATGCGTATCTGATAGAGCTTCTATTTTCCAACTCTTGGGAGTCAGGAAATAAAGTCAGAGTGCAAGCTTATGAAAAAGAGCAGAAAATACTAGAAAGCGATCTGAGTAGAGATTCTTGATTTTTCGTCCAATCAGAACCACTAATGAGACATTTAATCCACTTAATACAGGTATTTTAAATATGATGGATTTAATCCATTTAATCCAGATATTTTAAATATTATGGAAAGCCACACTTCACTTGAGTTGTGAACCGTTTGGATAAACAAACGGTTCACACGATTGCTTTATAGTTAATCTTCAATTAAACTACATTTCTTTTTTGAAGGAAGATTCGTATTTCTGATTTCATATTTTTCCTTCTCAAAGTTGGGAGAGATTGTATTCTGTTTTCACACCCAGATTATTCCTTGGTGATATAGTCCGTGGTTTTGCTCAACTAATAGATATGACATCCTGTTTCAAAAGCTTGCTTGGTGAGCATGGACTTAGTGGGCAAAAGGAGCTGTATTTCTTTAATGGATATTCTCATCATGCCAAGTCACCCTCTTCCATTAAAGCCTTCTAGACCAGCCATGCCGAGAGTCTTCTTGTCTCCTGTCTGTGGAGGGAACCTACAGACAAATTCCTCCTCCCCCACCCTCCTCCAAGATGGCTGACCATCATCTTGTTTTCCCAAGAGTGGTACGGGATAGTCTGCCTGCTATCTAAGGGCTTTCTGTTTCTCAGCTTTAAAGATGATTTGATTTATTGATTACAGGTTTGGTGGATGCACATACACATCCAGTATGGGCTGGTGAAAGAGTTCACGAGTTTGCAATGAAGGTAACTGCAGTAAATGATGACAAATCAAAATAAGGCACAAATATAGACAGGTCTTTTTCTGAAGAGTTGATAGGCTATCAGGCTTTGCAACATATACCTACATTTCTTTTTCATGGATATTTTTACTGGCCTGGACTATGGAAAATAAATTGCAAAAAAAACTAACTTATAACTGTCCAAATACTTTGCACAGGCCCAGCAATCATTATAATAGTTTTCAAAGATTTTTAGCTGTAGAATCCTTACGTATGTATGTATGTATGTTTTAGAATCCTCCCTTTAAAAAGGGAGGTGCCCGGGCGCCTGGGTGGCTCAGTTGGTTGGGCGACTGCCTTTGGCTTAGGTCATGATCCTGGAGTCCTGGGATCGAGTCCCGCATCAGGCCTCCTGCTCAGCAGGGAGTCTGCTTCTCCCTTGGACCCTACCCCCTCTTGTGCTCTCTCACTCTCTCTCAAATAAAATAAAAACAATAAATATAATAGTTTTCAAAGATTTTTAGCTGTAGAATCCTTACGTATGTATGTATGTATGTTTTAGAATCCTCCAGAATGAAAGGGAGGTGCCCGGGCGCCTGGGTGGCTCAGTTGGTTGGGCGACTGCCTTTGGCTTAGGTCATGATCCTGGAGTCCTGGGATCGAGTCCCGCA